TGGCCAAGTACCTGGGAATAACAGAAGCAAGTGGGCAAGACACAGTTCCTGTGCAGCCAGTTTGGCCTGTGTGTCCTTGAAAGCATTACCTGGAGTACAGGATCAGTGGAGTTTTGGTGTCCTTTGCAATGAATGATCACTACCTGTTTTGGAAGCTGTGCTGCCTCTGAGACCTTAAAGATGAGACTCATTGATGATGGGAGTTCCCTGAGCACTGATGAGGCCCCTCTCCTGCCAGATTGCAGCATGAGAGTGTAAGATACTGAGCATGTACTTTGAGTCAGTTTATGTGTTTGTATTTTCATCTTTTTAAAAATTTTTTTTTAACTTGCAGGTAAATTTATTTTTCCTGCTTTTTTTTTTTTTTTTTTTTTTTTTTTTTGGTACTGGAGATCAAACTCACAACCTCTCATGCTTGCCAGGCAGGCATTTATGCCACTGAGCTAAATCCCCAGCCCTATGTCTTTATGTTTTGCTAGTGTAAGGGCCTGTGTCAGTGCTATGAGTTCTACCCTCTGTGATGAGGTCCTAGGCAGTAACGGATTAGCCTCTAAGATTGGTGATCTATTGACTGTAGCATATCCTCCCATCATTTGAGTTCCCGTATTTGTGGAACTCTCATCTATGCACTAGGTGTCATCAGCTGTGGGAAAGGGATCATTATGCACATGAGGGAAGGAGTAGGAGTCATCTGTAAAACCTGACTGGGGTAAGGGTATCACTAGTGGAAATGATAATGGCAGGGACCTGTATGAGGGTTAAATAGACCTGCTGTAGATGAGAGGAGGTCATCAGAGTAGGGAGATTTTTTTGCGAGATTGAGTCTGTCAGTTGATAAGGTGAATAAACCGTAAGTCTGATCTAGTGTGAACATTTTTGTCTCAGTGTCACCACCTAAGCGAACACTTGGAGACAAGGAGGCCCAGCATGTACAGTGTTATTGAACTGTTTTGAGAGATATGCCACTGTCTGAAAAGAGGGTCCTTTTTGATGTTCTAGAACCCCCACAGCATTATGGCTTTGGGAGATAGTGTACAGAATGAAAGGTAAGGTTGGTTTTGGAAGTGTGAGAGCTGGGGCTCTTAAGAGAGCCTCCTTTAATCTATGGAAAGGAATGCATATCGGCACTGTGAGATCTAGGGGCTCTGTTATTGGACCCTTAGAGGCTTGGTATAAGGGTTGAGCTAGAGTGGTGAAGTTAGGGATCCAGAGATGTAAGAAATTAGCTAGACCTAGTAAGGATAAAACCTGTTGCTTGATGACAGGCTCCAGAAGGTCCCTAAGGATCACCTTACAATTGGTGGTTATCAAGCGAGTAGCAGGTGTAAGGGTGAGACCCAGATACCTGACCTTTGGAGAAGCCTTTGGACCTTAGTGGCAGAAACCCAGTATCCATGACTGGAAAGAAAGTTGAGAAGAACAGCTGCATGTTGTATAGTCATAGCATGAGAAGGAGAACATAAGAAGAGGCCATCAACATACTGAAGGAGAGTACTGGGCTTGAGGTTAATAGCTGTGAGATAAGTAGCTAGCACCTGGCTGAAGAAGTCAGGACTGTCCCTGAATCCTGAGGTATCACTGTCCAGGTGAGCTGCTGAGATCAGAGGGTGTCTGGGTCTGTCCATGTAAATAAATGCAAAAACGTCTTGACAATCTGGGTGTGAGAGAATAGAGACGGGAAGTATTGGAGTATTACATGGAGAGTGTGTAATCTTAAGAAACTCATTTCTACCTAGCAGAGGAGTAGAACATGTTAGGATAACAAGAAAGTTATGTGTGAAAAAGAGAGTCTGAAACTTGCAAGGCACAGGTTTTGTCTGAAGAGGTCTTGATGGTTGGCTGTCAACCCCCACTATGGAGACTGTGGATCAATACATTGACTTGAGAACTAAGGAAGAATGCTACAGGTGGCTCTCATGTTGACAAGGAGAGTGTCCTACCTGAGATATCCAGCGAGATTTTGGGCTCTGAGAGAGATACTTCGATGGGGCCCGTGGACCCCATGCCCCATCAATCCTCTTCAGCAGTGATGATGAGAGGATTGGTTAACAATGAGTCTGGTGGTGGTGATGGGATTTCCTGTGAGGGCAGGGAGTTTGATGACTTACTTGCTCTGTGGGGGATAGGGCAGTTGCACGTCTAGTGTCCCTTCTATTTGTAGATGCGACAGGTTCCCAGTGGTGGCCACGGATTAAGGTAGACTTGTGTTAAGTGTCCTTTGCTGCACTTGAAACATGGTCCTGAGGGGCTCAGGTTTTAGATTCTCCTTTGGCTTGTATTTTATTTTGAGCCTGGAATGTCGCAGCCAAAAATAGGCAGTTAAGCCTAGCATGGAGTTTAGCTTTTTCTAGATAATTTTGTTTTTGTTGTCTCTCTCTATTATTGAAGACACAGAAAGCCATATCTAGGAAATCTCTTTGGGGGACTGAAGGCCAAGATCTGACTTTTTAAATTTGAGCCTGATGTCAGGTGCCACTTGGAAGATAAAGTGGGAATTTTAGCATAATGGTCATGATGACATTTTGTAACACACTTAAATCTCCATCTTGATATATAACAGTCTTTGTAGTTAATGGTGTCTATTTAGTACATAAGAAGTTTTCATCTAATTTGTTGTCCTTTAAGATGTTATTGAAGATATTTGTGACTGTTTGGGCTGCTCAGTGTCTAAGCACTTCTAAGTATAGTGACACAATCCCAACTTAACACTCTAGAAGATTTGTATGCTTGAAGGCATACAAATTTAATATACCATAAGATCAGCAATAATGAATTGTCTTAGCTATATGAAACCTTTGTATCAGAGCATCTTTAAATCCTAAAACCTGACCAATGTGAACATATTACAATAATATATTTATAACTTTAGTTGAGGTATCTCTTATAAGGCTATGGAGATCATTGGGGCCTCTGATCAATGATGGAGAACTGTTAAAATGTTACCAGGCAGCCTCTTTCTTATTCACTGTTTGAAGTCCTATCCAATAAGCCCCTAGGGATTTTGTTTAATTATCTTTTTTTTTTTTTGGTTCTAGGGATCGAACTCATGAACTCATGCTTGCCAGGCAGGCACTTATGCCACTGAGCTAAATCCCCAGTCCCCTTAATTATCTTAATAATTTTAATTTTTTGTAAATAACTTACAAAAAACCCAATCACAATATTTATTTTTTTGTACCAGGGATTGAACTCATGACCTTGTGCTTGCCAGGCAGGCGTTTATGCCACTGAGCTAAATCCACAGCCCAATCACAACACCTAACATTATTTTTGAACAATTAGAGACTCTCAAGTCATGAGACATAAATGACTGCATATATTAAATTTACACAACCAATTACAGCATCATTTTGACCAGCTGGCAACCCAGGTGGAAGCCTGCTTTTAGATGTACAACCCACATTATATTTTGAACAAATGATCCAAAAATGGGAAAGGAAAGAAGCATTATTGAGCTCAATAAACAACAGCTGTTCATGAATATGACAAACAAAAAATATATAGATGATCTGTACAGATTGGACATAGAAATATAAATAGCTTAACAGACAAACACCTTACACAATCAGACTGCACTCAAATATATTTGGCCAATTTGGGGCTGGGGATTTAGCTCAGCGGCATAAGCACCTGCCTTGTAAGCAGTCGTGAGTTCGATACCTGGTACCGATAAAAATGAAAAAGACAAAAAAATATATATATATTTGGCCAATTTGAATTATACTAGTAATTGGATAATAACAATTGAATTATAATTATAGTTTTACATTTGTAAGTATAGATTAGTGAGAATCTTTTGTAGGTTAATCAACAGAGATCCCTTGAAATAGGAATCAAAGGAATAAAACCTTTTATACCTGTGAAATCATAGACAGTTATTAAAGCAAAGACAGCTATTAGGGAGTCATAGAAATTAATCACAAATTGGAGGTCTTTGACATAATTCAGCAGTGTAGGACCTGAAAGGCTGTGAGATATGAGAAAGGTCAAAGAGGGAAAAAAAGGACATGAACGTGGACTAAGTCTTCAGTGCCTGTTATCTTGCAGACAGGGAGAGGTTGGGGTGAGTGACATTTTGACAGAGGTTGGGGCAGAGATAGCAGCAGCAATGTGTGACTGGAAGGTAGCGGCAAGCAGGGGCACACAGGATGGCAGAGGCTGGGAGGAGTAAGATCGAGTATGATGGGCAGGTGGGAAAATGGCAACAGCAGGGCAGAGGAGGAGCAGGAGGGAGAAAAGGCGATGGGAAGGGGAGGAAAAGATGGTGATGAAGAGCAGGAATGTGGGGTTGGGGGTTGGCAGTATAGAGCTTGGGCTGTCCCACATGTCGGAAGGAATGAGGGATGTGCTCTGAGAGCAAAAAAGCCTGGACATACAGAATCTCAGACCACTTGCAGTTAGGGTAGCAAAAATTGTCAGGTCTCAGAGGATATCCAACTCAAGAATGCCCTCTGGTGGCCACCAATTAAGCCAAGGGGAGTGTGTTTTGCAGAGTGAGACACATTAACCATGGTGACTGACTTGGAAGCGAGCCCACAAGCAAAAAATGCAAGTTACACTCCCAGGAGTTGTCACCCTAGCAAATAGTACACATGAAAGAAAGCCTCACACGCAGGCACAGCAGTCATCACTGGAGGGACATGGGAGGGGATAGCCCCAGAGGGCGAGGTCCAGTAGGACAAGAGGGGGCTGTCCTGAAGCAGGCCTGCAGCTAATGAGATAGGAACCCTGAATCGAGAGTTGGCTCACCTGTATGTACCTCCAAGGCCTGTAGCAGCTGGTGGTGGATGGAGTCCAGTAACAGCAATGGCAAAAGTGGAGAGAAGAGGAGGAAAGGTTCATAGGGGAAGGGGACTCAAACCAGAGGCAATGCCCAGGGGTTGCACTGCCTCCCCCACCTGATCAGTCCTTTTGGTGTGTGAGAAACAAGAGAAAGAGAAAGAAAAAGAGGCCTTTAATTGCGGGCATGGGAGGGCTGCTTAAGAGACACAAACATCCTCTGAGGGAGAAAGAAAACCATGGGCTTTTATTTGGTGTTGACAGGGGTGGAGTTAAAGGGGCGGGCAGAATGACATATTGACAGCTGATTGGGTAGGGTGATGGCACTCATGCAAAAAGCAGAAGTTCAATTTTTTAGGTTTGCAAGAACGTGTAAATCAGTGTTGAAGGGTGACCCTGTCCAGCGTCATGTTTACTTGGAATAACACACATGCAAAGAACCCAACAGAATGAATGGGGTTGGACGAGATACTAATTTTTTTTTTGGTACTGGGAATCGAACTCACGACCTTGTGCTTGCCAGGCAGGCACTTTGCACTGAGCTATATTCCTAGCCCAAGATACTATTATTGAGTGAAAGGACCAGGAAGTCCTGCATTAATTACAATTAGCATTTTTTCAGATTTTTTGTTAAACTCTTAGTGTAAGAACGTTTTTCCTATTTCATATTTACAAAGACTTCATTGGAAACAAAAGACCACAAGCAAACCCAAGTGACTGATCAATGCCCCCTTTATCTCCCCTGACCCCACTGTATTCACTAAAATAGTGGGCTGGCAGCCATGCAATCAGAATTTGCCTTTCACTTTTTTTTTTTGTGGTACTACTGGGGATTGAACTCAGGGCCTGTGTATGTGCTAGGAAAGCACTCTACCATTGAGCTACATCCCAGCCCTGCTTTTGACCCCCCCCCCCATGGGACACTGCAGTGACCTACTTTTGATTTTTATTGTTGATTTTTGAGACAGGGTCTTACTATGAAGTCCAAAGCTGGCCTTTCAGACTATGTATCCTAGGTTGGCCTTGAACTTCCAATGATCCTCCTGCCTCAAGTCCTGGGATCACAGGCATACACGGTCTTGCCTGGCTTTTGCTTTGATTTTTTTCCCCACCCATCAGGTCATACCTGGATACCAGGAGGATACCACTTAGTACTCAAAAATGTAAGATGGAAACCTGGGCATGGTGGTACACACCAGCAACACCAGTAGTTTTGGAGGCTGAGGCAGAAGGATCACAGAGTTGGAGGTCAGCTGTTGGAAGCTGCTAAGCTAATCATTCACATGTGCAGAGCCCAAAGCACAGAATGTCCAAGGGCATGAGTGCCTAAGGAATGCCATGAGGACATGGATGCTGGAGGCCAACAGGTAGAACACCTGTTGGCTTCAAGAACACCAGGCATAACAGGTGAGCTAGTTAAGCAAAGGAGTGGCACAGGACAAAGGTATAAATACCTGCACTGCAGTGGTTGAGCAGTCCCTTCCTTCCGTCTGGAGGAAGGGCTCCATCTGACCCCAGCTATCTCTAGCTTTATTTTCTTTATCCTCTTGGCATTCCCTGCACCCCCCTTCTCCCTACCAGAATTTAGAGAGCTCTCACTGAAATGAGAGTCAGCCTGGCCTATACAGTGGGATGCTGTTTGGAAAAACTAAAACAAAAACAACAACAAAAAAAGGGTTGGAGAAGTAGGATGCACTTCAACAGTAGAATACTTGTCTAGCATGTGTAAGAGCCTATATTTGATCCCAACACTGAAAAAAAAAAAAAAAAAACCCAAAAAGAAAAAAGAAAAAAGAAAAGGAAACAGGTTAGATAATTAAAGCATTAAGCAAAGGAAATTTAAAATAATTTGTGGATAGGCAATATTGCTGCATTGCTTACAAACAAGTTTCTCTAAAAACCTTCTGCAACCATTTATTTATGTACATTTTAGAGTTACTACGAGATTTTAAAATTTTAAATGGTTAACAAAAAATATGAACAGTTCACGACACTAAATTCAACTGTTTACAAGTTATCTTAGAAAGCAAATCTGGGCACTGAATTTCCTTCCGATCCTGGGGCTCCAGTTAAAATCTTTCTCCTGTTGGTGTTCACTGTACTCTATCCTTGCAGTATACTCTTTTGTAAACTAGAAATGGGATTATAGCAACTCTAGGAAAATCTGCAGTGTTATGAGACTTCTGGAGAAGATGGCTGAGAGATCCAGTCAGCTATTTACCAGGAACTGGCTTCTGCTCAGCTTCCCTCGCTCCTTGAGGAACACAAGTAGGTGCCTTCGCCTCCTCCATGTGACTTTCACCCCGTACTTCTCCTCTGGAGTGTCTTTAACCAGAACAGGCCCGGGGTCCGGGGTGTCGGGAGTAGGGGAGTAGACACAGACTGGAGGGCTGTTTTCCCCCTGTCCTGGGGGACTGGGATCTTCTCTTTCAGATGGCCCTGGGGTCTGAATGTCCGGGGCAGGGAACACGCACAGTGAGCTCTGGAGCACGTGTGCTGATGGCTCCTCACAGCTCTGGGGACTGAGCAGCGGAACCAAGGGCTGTCTGGAAACATCCCTTTCTGATCGACTGAGGCACTCCCTAACTAAGGGGATTGCTGGTATCTCTGGCCTGGAAGAAGACTTCGAACTCTCAAAGGATAAATGTGGAAATTTGCAGGTCGATTTTCGACTTGAAAGTCTTGCCCGATCTCGACGATGTTTCCGGCGTGCTGGAAACAAGCTGTCTACTGTTGTGTCAAACTGAGGTGATACCTAAGAATTAAAAAAAGAGAAAAGTGAAGGCAACCAACTACCAAGCACCTAAAAAAGGAAAATGACACCCACTGACAACAATCTTACTGTGTGTGTGGTACCGGAGACTGAACCCAGGATGCTTGCGCTGAACTACATCCCCAGTCCTTTAATTTTTCGTTTTGAGATACAGTCTCACTGAGTCTCTAATTTGTCAGGCTAAGTCTGAATTTGAAATCTTCTAGCATAAGGCTTCCAGAGTGCTGGAATTACAAGTGTATGCCGGGAGCCGGGGATTTAGCTCAGTGGCATAACCACCTGCCTGACAAGCACGAGGTTGTGAGTTCGATCCCTGATACCAAAAACCCCCAAAACCCAAAACCAACCAGACAACCAACCAAACAAACAAAAATCCAAAAAACAAGTGTGTGCCACCATGCCTGGCTTTTTAAACCAGAATCTTAAAGACAGTAATGGACATAAAACAAAAATGGCTACTACTGAAATGATTATATAAAAACATATAAGCTTTAGCCAAATTAGTCTCCCTGGCTTTGTTTTCTCATGTGTAAAAGCAGAGACAATGCCTTTTGCACTTCATCACTCCACATATGACTTAAATGTCTCTAAACTTTATGAGGGCAGGATAGGAGGTAATAGATCAACTGCATATACTTAGCATGCTCAAGGCTCTGGGTTCAGTTCCCAGCACCAAAAACAAACAAACCATCGAACACTCAAAAATTTAACAGGCTGACGTGGTAACACACACCTGTAGTCCCAGCACTTGGGAAGCTGAGGCAGGAGGATCGTTGTAAGTTCAAGGCCAGCCTGAACTACATAGAAACTTTGTCTCAAAAAGCCAAAAAACAAAACAAAACAAACTTAACAAGGGCAAAGATTTTGTGATTCTCCAGTACCTAGCAGAATGCCTGGCACAAGAAAAGTCCTTAGTAAACAATAAATGGTAGACTGTTGGGACAAGGAATGAACAACTAGCAGCCAGCATGTGATAGCACCATGCCTGTAATCCAGCACTGAAGTAGGCTGTCAGCAACATGCAAGTTCCAGTCCCACCTGGGAAACCTAGCAACACCCTGTCTCAACATAAAAAGTAAAAAAGGGCTGGGGAATGTAGCTTAGTAATAGGACAACCTTGGGATCCAGCCCAAGCACACATAAAGAAAAGAAAGCAACTAGCATAGTTGTGGCACACATTGAGAATTCAACAAATGTTCGTATCTATCAGCTTCCACAGGATTTCAGTATTTAAATTTCCCCCATATTCATAAAGCCAGTAATAAAATTCTTCCCAGAAGTCCTGGACAATCTCTATGAAGCATATGCTTTATTGGGTCTTTTGCTAAACTAGTTCTCTGATACACTGCAGGTATGTTCTCTTTCCAGGAATTTTTTCATTTTTGGGGTGCTGGGGACAGAATCCTGTGCATGCTAGGCAAAGTGCTTCTACCACTAAGCTACATCTCCAGGGCATTTGTTTGATTTGATGCAGGGAGACTCTCTCTATGTAGTACACGCTGGTCTTGAATTCACTATGTAGCCTATTCTGAACTTGAATCTTAGGCAGTTCTGCCTCAGCCTCCAAGTGTTGGGTTATAGACAATACCACCACATCTGGCCATCCTAGGGATATTTAAACTGGCAGATATTACATGTGACATTTCTGTGATGTTTTTTTTTTTTTTATCTTTTTCACACAGGATGTAACTGCAGTTCAGGCTGGCCTTAAACTCACTTCGTTGCCCAGGTTGGCCTTGAACTCACAGCAATCTTCCTGCCTCAGCCTCCCAAGTGCTGGGATTATAGGTATGTGCCACCACACCTCGCTTCTGTGGAGTGTTTTTCAATGTTTAATGTATTCAATGATTACCACAGTACCTACCTAAACACCTTTCACATGGAGTTCAGAAAACAATGTCTTTTATTTATTTATTTTTTGGTCTTTTTTGAGACAGGGTCTCGCTATGCCATTCAAGCTGGCCTTGAGCTCACTTTGTAGCCCAGGCTGGTCTCAAACTCACAACAATCCTCCTGCCTCAGCCTCCCGAGTGCTGGGATTGCAGGCATGTGCCACCACGCCTGGCAATAATTTCATTTTTCATGTGTCTGCCAGTTGTCTGGCTTTCTCAGCCAGCTAATGGTAGTGAAACTTTCACCATGAACTTTTTCAGAGGCTGGGGACAATTCCAGTGCCATCCAATCCAAGCCTCAGTCTAAACAACGAAAAGAAGATACACAAGGAGAATCGCTGACCACTGCCATAGAGTATACTGCTTCCCTGACCCACAAATCTGCTCATTCTTTGGCAGCTGGGTTCAAGAAGAGTTGGCATCCTGAAAAGGCTGTGGGGTAAAAGTCAAAGCATACCAGGGGCCTACCCAGGAAGCGAAGGCTTGGTCAGTGGGCTTGCTGGGCACTTGTACAGTGTGAGTGGCACGTTGCCGCACTGATTCACAGTGGTGCTTGGGGCCCTCCAGTGGTTGCTGGTGGAATAGCAGCTGGGCTTTGTTGGACCGTCTCTTTTTGGGAGGCATCAGTAGGTGAAGGAAGAGGAGTTAGTAACCACATGATGCTGATTGCCTTCTGGTTGGGGGACAGAGTCCAATTCCAACACATACCTGCACAGTAAAAGAAATGAAATAGCAATTTATTCAACAATCGATTTTTGCTGTTATTATTTTGAGTCAGGGTCTCCTTATATAGTTTAGGCCATTGATGGCAAATCTTTTAATGATAACAAAGAGCCTGCTGTAGCATGCATAGGTTCACCACCATTGGTCTAGACTAGCTTTTAAACTCAGGACCTTTGCAACAAGCTGCATCCTAGCTCTCCCTTTTTTTTTTTTTTTTCCCATTTTGAGACAGTGTCTCACTAAATACCCAGGCTGAGCTGAGACTTGTCATCCTCTTGCTTCAAGCTCCCATAGTGCTGAGATTATAGGCATGTGCCACCACACCCAGGTAGTAAGAAACAATTGAAGGGTAAGCACTTATAGTACACAGAAGTCCCATCTTCAAGGAGCTGAGAATGTAGTTCAGCCATCCCACACTTCAAACATGCAGGAAGCCTTGTGTTGCACCCCCAGCAGTGCACGAGAGACAAAAAGGAGCTGAGGGGCTACAACAGGGAAACAATCACAGTTCAACAGGAGGCTGCAACATGCTTCTGTTTGTCTACGGTAGGCAGGAAGCTAAATGACTGGTGGGTAAAAGGGCTGGGAGAGGCAAAAAGGTGGGGACAAGCACTCCAGCCAAGGGACAGCAGACACAGGGCCATCTTGGGAATTCAAGGTATTGCAAACTCAGCACAGCAGGGTGTGGAGTATGAAGGAGACAAATGGTAAGAGCTGAACCTGGCATGGTGTCACTGACAGGTCAGAAAAACCAGAGGAAGCCATGGAGTGTGGACATAAACCTAAGTGGTCACTGAAGATTTTCATACAGAATGATGTGATCATACTTAGGTTTTGTTTTGTGTTTTGTGAGACAGGGTCTCACTATATAGTTCAGGCCTGCCTCAAACTCACTGGGATCCCCCTGCCTCAGCCTCCCAAGTGGTAGGATCACAGGCATGTACCACCATGCTCAGTTTACACTTAGGTTTTATTTGTTGTGCTTTTTAAAATTTTCACCCCGCCAGGTTGGTGGCACATGCCTATAATCCTAGCTCTTGAGAGTCTGAGACAGGGGGATCTCTATGATTTTGAGGCCAGTCTGGGCTATGTAGTGAGTTCAAGATCACTCTGAACTACATAGCAAGACCTTGGCTCAAAAAATACTTTCTCACCCCAAATAATTCTGAACATAAAACCAGACTGCATAATACAAAGGACCACCATAAACTCAGCATCTAGCTCTAATGACCATCAATCTATGCTCACTGTGGCCAGTCCTGATCCATCCATACTTATATCCATTTTCCCTGCTCCTGCATTAAAAAGAAAATTCACTTATCATTGTATCATCCCCATTAATATGACTATATGTATGCACACAAACACAAATTCCTTATCATCAAATATCCAGTCAATGTTCAAATCTTCGATTGTTTCATAACCATGCTAATTGTTTTGTGTCATTTTGACAGCTCATCATGGCAATGGTACAAAAGGGTACAATAAATACCCTCGAAGTAGGGTGTCTTAGTTACTTTTTCTCATTGTTAAGACACAATACCTGATGTCTAAAATTAAAGGAGTAAAAGCTCATTTTGGCTCACAGTTTGTAGAGGTTTCATTTCATAGTCCGATGGCTCCAAGGCAGGGCAAAGGGGCATCACAGAGGAGAAATAGAACATGGCAACCTTCTTCCTGTCCCTTTTTCTTTTTCTTGTAGAAGTATTTACTGAAAGAAAGCTTCTGTCTGAGAGAGAGACAGAGGGGGGTCCCAAGTGGGTTGCCCCTTTTATTTTTGTCTTTTTGAGACAGGCTCTCACTATGTATTTCAGGTTGGTCTTGAACTCACTTTGTAGCCTAGGATAACGTTGAACTTGCAGATTCTTCTACCTCAGCGTCTTGAGTGCTGGGATGACAAGCATGTGCTACCACACCAGGCCTCCTCTCTTGTATCTTATCCAGACTCCCCACCCTTAGGGCAGCCTTAATCCTGGCATTACATCTCTAAGTCACATACTCTAGATCCAGCCACCTCTGAAAAGCCCCACCTATGACTGCATGAAGCTTTGGGGCAACATCTAGATAAAAACCATAACATAGTGGGACTGATTAAGTTACTGTGTCTACTCAGTGGGGAATGATGCAGGCCTGAATGTAGGCTGTGTTGGTGAAGACAGGAGGATGCGACAGACACAGGGTTGTGGGGAGGGGGGCAAATGAAGCTGGAAACTGACTACATATGCAGGGCTAGGGCATAGCTATCCCAAGAACACAGGGTGCCTGGGGCAAGCCATGTGAAGAAGCTGCTTTTGCCCAGAGAACACCTAGCCCCAAGACAAACCGAACAGCGGGTTGCTAGGAAAATCAGGTGTCATGTGAAATTAAATTGCTAAAAAGGTATAAATAAATGCCCCTGCAATGAGGGGCCAGTTCCTTTCCTCCTATCAGGAGAGAAAGGGCTCCACCTGATCCCATATTTGTCTCTGCTTTATATTCTCATCCTGTCTTGGTCCTTCACCCCAAGAACCTTTAAGGGTCACGGCATGGGATCACAGAAAAGTCTGAAGTAGTGACCACTGGCTCTAATAACCAGATCAACTTTTTCAATGGAATGGTGGGGCATGAGTTAGAACACGGGGTAGAGGGGTAAACGGAAGTGCAACTGAGTGTTCATGACAGTCTCAAAACAGTGGAAAAGTTCTAGTGCTGGACATTTACATGCTTTACCAATTTATTCATTAGATCAACAACATGTGACTAGGTAGTGGAGACATGGGGAAAAAAGCAAGGAATCACTACCCTCTGGGAATTAATATTTTAGAGTAAGGACACATAATAAACACATCCATTTGTTGCCTCATTCAACAGATTTTTTTTTTTTGCCGAGTTCCTACTGTGCACCAGGCAACATTCCAGGGGCTGGAAACATAAACCACAGAACAAAACAAACTTCCTGCTATCACAGCACTTAGAATCTAGTGGTCAAAGTTAATGGACGAAAATCAAACACTAGGTGCTCTTTCAGACAGCATTTATGGAAGGCCTCCCTGAAGAATTAAATGCTTTTCCCTTCCTGCTGATGGAACCCAGTGCCTAGTGCTAGGGAAGCATTGTACCACTAAGCCACACTCCGCCTCTAACTTGCATTCCTTCTGCCCCTGCCTCCAGAGTAGCTAGGATTATAGGCATGTATAATCAGTCTGATTGGTATTTTGAAAAGACAACTCTAGGTATTTTATGAGGAAAAACCCAGTTGAAAGGAGTTCAATGGAAGGGCAGTAGTAGGAGCAATGGCAGCAGTGTGAAGAGCTGAGCTGCATCCTTGTTTGCTTGACAGCTACTGCGTGGGATCAAATGGACATTACAAATTCTGCCATTTTTTTCTGTGTTTGCTTTTTGAGACAGGATCTCACTATGCATTCAAAGCTGGTGATCCTCCTCTCGCCTCTGGAGTGCTGGGGTTACAGGTGTGCCCTACAACACATTCCTGGGTAGGCCAAGGCCGAGCTTCCTGAGTCACTCCACTCCCATCCTTGGCCCAAACTTAGCTCTCCAGTCCTGGACTCACCAGGCATCTTCCTGCCACACAGGAAGCTTCACACACTTTATTGCTCGACTCAGTGAATCTCCCTGCCTCCTGTGCAAAGGTGCCAGATCTCATGCTCAGCCTCAATTCAGCAGAAAAGCCTTTTCTGTCTTACCTAAGTCAAGATCTCCTTATCCAAAATACCCGAAGTATGATCGTTAGGCCTGGTAGGCTCCTTAGTCTCACTTACTCTGAAAACTAAGATAGGATAATTCCTTGAGTCAAGTGGTTCATGAGAGACTGGGCAACTCAGCAAGATCCAGTCTAAAAAGTAAAAGGGGAAATGGAGAGAGGGAGGGTTAGACAGACCTACTGACAGAGGGGGAGAGGCAGGGTAAAGGAGACGGGGAGTATCGCTGACTTCTGACTTCATTTTACAGCTGCACTGTGTTATTTTGGGAATATCTGTGCTGCTTTCCACCCCCACCAGACTCCAGGCCAGGCGGAAGAAAAGAACTCTGTTTGCCACTGTATCCTTAGGATCTGGCATATAGCTGTCTGTGGCATAAGTAAAGAAATAAAACACTTTGTAAAGTACCTATACTAAAAGTTCGATGTTAGCAAGAGATCAAAACAGCTTTGGGTGGAGGATCTGAGGCCTGGGAGCTGAGGCCAGGCCTGTAACATATGCGGGCCTCAGGTTTGCGGCAAAAGCATCGGCAGGCATGGTGGTGGGGCCTGTAATCCCAGCGCTCTGAGAGGCTGAGGCAGGAGGACCCGCCAATTCATGCCCAGCCTTTTGCCTCAGCCTGGACATGGCGAAATAAGGGCAGGAGACGCTCAGCGCGAAGGCCCCGGGCGGGTTCAACCCCTACTACGGAGAGATACCCACTGACACACACAACAAACAAAAACCAAAAGGCCACAGGCCGCCCTCAGACTCGATGGAGTCGAGGAGCCCGACGGTCGTTAACAGATAAACCGAGGACGGTGGCCCGGACAGGAACTCCACCGCCGCGCACCCTGCCGAGTGAGGGGAGCGCCAAAGAGCGCCTACGCGGGGACGGGTGAGGCCGGCGTGCGGGCAGTGAGCAGCCGAGCTCCGCCGCGTCGCTGGCCCTGGCCCTGGCCCCGCGCCCCCATCCAGCCCGGCCCCGCCCAGCGCGCCCCCCGCACCTCACAGCCCGCACCGCGCACCGCGCCGCATGCACCTCACAGCCCGCGGGCCGCCGCTCCGCGCCCAGGGTTCCGCCCAGAACGCGGAGACACCGGCCGCCGATTGGCGACGCTCCGTCACGTGACCCAACGCTCCGCCGGCGCCAATTTCAAACAGCGGAACAAACCGAAAGCTGAGGTGCCGACCCTCGCCGGCCCGCCCGGGCCCCCTCCCCGCCGGGCTCCCGGGCTCCGGGCTCCCGGGCTCCCGTCCTGCCTGCACGGCCGGGGCCCGGCCGGCCTGCGAGCTCCGTGCTGGGCCCTGGGCGGCGGCGCCGCGGTCTAAGGTGAGCGGGGACAGGAAGGGGTCGGGCGGCAGGGCAGGCGGTAGGGGCAGCGGAGGACTGGGGCGCCCCGGGGGCGGCGGGGAGGTGGGTGCTGTGGGTGCGCTCAGCCAGGGTCGCGTTCGGGTGCGTTCGCCGCCTCCTCCTAGCGTCCTGACCTGCCCTGGAGTGCGACCTGCACCCGGCCGGCCTCAGCGATGCTCGGCTGGGTTTGACTTGAAGCTCCGACCTCCACCGCCCGCTCGCGGCACCGTGTAGTTAGGACAGGGTAGCAAGGCTGCCCAGTTTAGGGTGGCGACGGGGTGAGAGAAACACTTCGAAACCTCCCTGAGCCAGGCATTGCTGGCAATCAGGAAGAGGCTGGCCAAGGAGTGGAAGAGAAAGATTTAAGAGACTCGGTGGAAAGAAGGGAGCTGCTGACTGATGGGAAGAGGTAGGCCTGGCGGGACAGGAGGCAGAATTAAGACAGATTTGAAGTTAGAGAAACCTGAGATAGAAAGGAAAAGGAAGCAACAGCATGGGGATAAGCAGACGGCAAATATCAGAAAGTACAGTCATTTTTAGACATTTCTAAAAGAGAGACAACAGGTTGTTCCATTTCTCAAATGACCTCAAAATGGAGTGATAGAATTTTACTAATGCTAAGTTATTCCATATGTGTATAAAAATCAATGAAATACTTATAAAAAAGATTGTTTTGTTAGCATTTCAAAATCACCTCAGAGGCTGGTGTGGTGATGCACTCCTGTAATCCTAGCACTCTAGAGGCTGAGGCAAGAGGCAAGAGTTCAAAGTCAGACTAGGCTACAATGGGGGTTCAAAGCCAGCCTGAACTGCATAGAGAAACCCTGTCTTGAAAGAAAAAAAAAAAATCCAAAATCACCTCAGGATAATAATAGTAGCACATTCTAATAGTAAAGAAATAGGGGTTATATTATACTCTTGGTTCTGGGAGAGAAATTAATAAAGTAGCATGCTTACAAAATTAAAATATATATAGTCATATGCAAGTATTGAGATACCACTATATAAGTGTTTTTGCAAATTGTAAAAGAAAATAGCATTTTTAAACTGATTGTGGTGTTCCACACTTATAATCCCAACTCGGAAGGTTGAGACAAAAGGATCAAAGTTTGGACCAGTCTGGATAATTTAGCAAGACCCTATCTCACACTGGGGGTTTAGCTCAGCATCAGTGCCTGCTTGGCAAACACGAAATCTTGAGTTCCATCCCCGGTACCAAAAAAAAAAAAGACCCTATCTCAAAGTAAAAACAAAAAACAAAGAGCTGAAGGTGTAGCTTAGTAGCAGAGTGCTTGCCTAGCAAGTGTGAAGCCCTGAGTTGGATTCCCCAACACGAAAAATTAAAAATGCAAGAGTAATAGCCTGTAAAATGAAGTTTAGGCATACAATCTTTAAAACTTTCCCAGAAAGAATTAAAAGCATCATACCATGCCCATGTTTATAGCAGTTTGTAATAGCCAAATATTGGAAACAGTGCAGATACCCAGCAACCATTGAATGGATAAAGAAAATGTGGTTTTTAATATAGTGGAATACTACTCAGCCATATAGAAGGATAAATTTTGGACATTTCTAGGTAAATGGATGTGCCTCGAGACCATTCTCTTGAGCGAAAGAAATAGAATACATGTGTGAAAATCACATTGTTTCTCTGGTGTGAGAAATTGAAAGTGTAAATAAGGACCAAAATGTGTAATAGAGGAAGAAATAGAGGGAAGGGAAACTAGAGTAGTGGGGAGGGGGAAAGGAAAAGAAAAATGAGAAAGGAAGGAAAACGTGGAAACAGCTTTTGTGAATAAGAAGAGTTAAGGATAGGGAAAAGGGAAAAAGAAAGAATCAAGATGTAGCCTGTACAAGTACAAATTCCCTATGATTGTGACCATTATGTATACCTAAAATGTACCAATGAACTTAATTAAAAAAAACTTTACCTTGGGTTACCATCGGTCGTATGACATCTTGTGAAATGGGAGGTGACTTCTGCAGTAGTGTGGTAACAGTGCGATACTACAGTTGGCCTCTGCTCCCTGATTCTGTGGGTACTGATCCTATCATTTACAAAGTAAGAGGACATCAAAATATAAAGGATTTATCGGGAAGGCATTAGTGGATCAGAGTTTTGTCTAGGACTCTAATTACCATTTGTTTTATTCTAGCATCTTCAATTCCTGTCCCTGTAGTCTTTACATGTGATTGGTATATATTATAGTAGAGAATAATAGATATTTCCATGTTTTTGTAGATGTCTCACTCATACTTTTGGCTGTCTCTAACCCAGTGTCACTTTCCCCCCTAGAATTGTTTCTGTGTGCTATACATGGTTTTAACTTTCTTTGATTGGTAGGGCTCATCATCAGGAGCATTCACTGGGGCCTTTGGGCTCGTGCTCTTGCCATACATGCAGAGGACACCTTCTAAGAGAACTGCACATGGGAGGACTGGGGAAGGGAAGTAAAAGGAATTTAGATGTGTTATTTGGATGCACCAACTCCCCGTGACGAATGTAATTGTTATGTACTACAAACATGTACTTGTAAACTTTTTTTTTGTCTTTTTGAGACAGGGTTTTGCTATGTAGTTCAGGCTGGCTTCTAACTCATTTTGTAGTTCAGGATGGTCTCAAATTTGCAATGATCCTCATGCCTTAGCCTCCTGAGTACTGCAATTACAGGCCTGTACCACCATGTCCTGCTTGTAAACATTTTTAAAAATTAAATAAATAATAGGGGCTGGGGATTTAGCTCAGTGGCATAAGCGCCTGCCTTGCAAGCAGGCAGTCGTGAGTTTGATCCCTGGTACCGATAAAAAACAAAAAAACGAAAAAAGACCCCCCCCCCAATAAATAAATAATAAAAGAATTTTCTTGGCCCAGCAAATCCCTGACTTTCTGCTTCTCTTTGCACTTTGCAGGGCCCATGCTTGTGATTCTCAATGGAGAGTGAAAGCGCAAATTCAGAATGAAAACCAGCCCCCATCGGCCCCTGATTCTCAAAAGACGGAGGCTTCCCCTTCCTGTTCAGAATGCTGCAGCTGAAACATCTGAGGAGGAGTCTAATAGACCTCCTGCCCAAAAGGATCCTAGTCAAGCACTGGCCTCCAAGGAGGTGGCAGAGTCCAGCTCTTGCAAGCTCCCGGCTGGGATCAAGATTATTAATCACCCCACCATGCCCAACACACAAGTGGTGGCCATCCCCAGCAATGCCGATACCCAGAGCATCATCACAGTGCTGACTGCCAAAGGAAAAGAGAGTGGCAGCAGTGGGCCCAATAAATTCATCCTTATTAGCTGTGGAGGAGCCCCAACTGGCTCTCCAGGACCCCAGCCGCAAGCCCAAAGCAGCAATGATTCCAAGAGGACAGACGTGCTCACTGAGAAGTTGGGACCAAAGCCTGCAGCTAGGGATGTGAATATTCCTAGACCATCTGGAGGCCATCCAGGACTCTGTCGAGAGAGCTGTGGTATGTGGTCTGCAGGGCAAGGGGTTAGGAGCCTGGCTTTTTCTCTGGTGGTAAGGCTTGCAGCAGTCAGTCTTATTGCCTGCAACAGATAGATGTCCAGTTTGAACATGGGGAAAGTCTCATCTCTTCATCCTGAAGCCTTGAGCAGAGCCTTGTGTGCACAGTTGAATGAATTACAATTATGAATTACACTGTGAATTACACTATGGTTTCCTTAAATGTATTGTAAGGAATTTTTCATCATTTGTTTATTCTTTCTGTTGGCCTTCTAAGGAGGTTAATCTTTCTCCATGTGAATAAAAGGAGTAAACTGAAACATGAGGAAAAATGGCTTTTTAATAGCTATTCCATAACCTATGTATTAGGCTGCCTTTGATGATATCTAAGGTTCATTATAGCTCATACTGAAATGTAATTTGAATTACATGTCTGAATTTGTCCTGAAACCCCCAGTGGGGCAGAGTAACTCAGAGCCACAGTAGAGTCCCCATGTGTTCCCTGTCCTAAGGGTGGCAACAGGAGGAGTGATCCCTGACCACCAACTTTAGTAGGCATGCTGGACATCTGAGTGGCCAGCTAAGTGGGGTCTTGGTTTGTTTCCTATCTAGCTAGCAACAAGGCATCAGGCTGCACTCTGGACAACAACCTGACCAACATCCAGTGGCTTGGGAAGATGAATTCTGATAGACTGGACTCCAGCAGCATCAAGCAGGAAGTGGAGGAGAAGGAGAACTGTCACCTGCAGCAGAGTCAGGTCAAGGTGAACCAATGCGTCCCTCACTAGGGAATCAGAGTGAGTGCAGGATAGTATTCCATGTCCTGGTATCAGTGCTCTTCTCAGTGCTATTCTGTAGAACTTTGAGCTGTTTTTGCCTGGGGTCTTTTTCTCCCCTCTGTGACATTTTCTTGAGGGCAGATTCCCTTGGCTTTTTCTGTATTTCTCTGAGCACTGGGTTTGATATTCTGTCCTTAGTAGGTCCTCTGTAAGTATTCAGGAAGTGATTATAACAAGTCTTAGTTTGAGATACTGCTTGAACTTCACTGAGATGTAGTAAGAGTATGAGTGGAATACAACATCTTTAACAATATAGGTTTATTAGATAATATACTGTAATAGTAGAAGCAAAAGTGATTTATTTAACAAAATAAGCAATCAAAATTGACCTAAGCCAATAGTATAGTCTGGGTTGGTTTTCTTTGTTCATAGTTGCCAGTGTTACATGCAGATACACTGGTAGGTTCTCTTATATATACCCTTTAACCCTTAATCAACAATCTTTTAAAAGTAAAAATGTAAGCCAAGTATGGCAGTGCAAACTCGTAATCCCAGCACCCTGGGAGGCTGAGGCAGCAGGATCACTGTGAGTTTGAGGCCAGCCTAGACTATATAGAGAGACCTTGTCTCAAACAGAAAAAAGGTGATTGGTCACATCTTTGCCCAAGATTTAGGCAAGTGTGGGCTTTAAAGACATTTTTTTCTGCCCTGTACTCTTGAGAATATTTTTCTCATACAGACACTCAAATGAGGTGGATTTATTCACATTACCTCAGAAGAAATGGGACTAAAACGTAGGTTACTTGATCTGCAAGTTCTGAAAAATGGGCATGAATTACTATAATATCAGTGCTTTGAGCATTTTGAATTAGAAAGGATTGGGCTTTTCCTTGTTACTGGGTTATATTTTCAAGAAAAGCAGTCCGCTCCTTACTTACTTGAGTTTAGACTAGATTATACTTAAGATTCTCCCCAGTCCTAAAAGTGTGTACCGCTGAGGAACAGTGATCTCAGCTGAGTTTGTTCCTAGTACATTTCTAGGAAGTAAAGTTCTCAAGGGGCTATGGTTGGTGGGGGTTTAGTTCTTGTGAACACTCTTGTGTCATTTCTCTTCTCTTTCCCTGTGGCTCTCGGACCCCTCAGGAGGAGCCTGTGGGCACATCAACACCCTGGCAGGACTCTGTGTCCGAAAGACCGCCTTACTCTTACATGGCTATGATACAGTTCGCCATCAACAGCACGGAGAGGAAGCGCATGACCTTGAAGGATATTTACACTTGGATCGAGGACCACTTCCCCTATTTTAAGCACATTGCCAAGCCAGGCTGGAAGGTAATCTGTCCCATCCAGTGAGTGCTGCGGCCACTGCAGCCCCACATCATGTACTTGGCGCTGCACTAGAGTCTGTGTGGTGCTCTGGGACAGTGGGGAAGTAAAGAGGCTCAAACATTAAGCAGATGCATCTTGTGGACTGTGGCTTGATCCTACTGAATCTAGGCAAAAACCATAAAAGTTCTGTATCCACTTTATCTTTTACTAAAGATCTTAATGAAAAAAAGAAACCCGAACCTCATAATCCCATGATTTCATCTAAAACATCACATTTCTAATGGTCAGGGCTTTTCTTCACTTTATGTGTGAATCACTGAAATGGGAATTGATGTAGCTCACATGATTGGCTGGTGTTGGAACCACAAATTCAGTCTTGTTTGTTGTTTTTTTTTTTAGACAATCTGGGCTTGAACTCACTCTAATCCCAGGAGCATAACTCCACAACTTTGGCACAACTCCAAACTGAGGATGTTCTGTTTTGTTTTGATTTTCTCCACAGTAGAACTCTGCACACATCAACTTAATTTCCAAGTTTCCTAGTTTGTCTCATGCACCTATCTTGCTATTGATTATTACTTCACAGTCTCACTCTACTTTTGTAGCCCTTTATGATCTCTCCTTCTCCACCCCTTGTCTTTTCACTTTCTCTCTTTGTTTTTGTGTTTTTCAAAGTTTCACTATGTAATTCAGTCTAGCCTTGAACTCCCTTTGTAACCCAGGCTGGCCTTGAATTCACAGTGATCCTCCTGTCTCAGCCTCCCAAGTTCTGGGATTACAGGTATGTACCACCACCTCTGGACACTTTCTCTTTTTGTGTTGCTGAGCATGGAATCCAGGTCTTCACATATACTAGACAAACACTGCCACTGAGCTATATCTCCAGTCCTTTTCGAGACAGATTCTCATTAAATGACCAGAGTAGACTTTAACTTTCAATTCTTCTCAGCCTCTTGAGTACCTAGATTAAAGGCATACATCACTACACTTGGCTTTCAGTAAAATCTTTTCCTTGAGCTGGAGGTGTTGTATACCTATTTTATAGCAGTTGGAAGGCTGAGGCAGAAGATCACCAAGGCTATGTAGCATGTTCAAAGCCAATTTGAACTATAAAGTAAGACCCTGTTTCAAACAAAAATAAACTCAAAAATCAAATATTTTCATGAGTCTTTTGCATAGAAGTAGGATTTGCTCATAGGCATATAATCAGAGATAGAGTATTTATCTAGCGTATGCCAAGTCCCAGATTTGAGCTCTAGCAACACAAATGCACACATATACACAAGTATACACACAAAAGAGAAAGAAAAGAGGAGAGAGAGAAAGCAAGGAAAGAAAGAAAAGAAATGGAATTTGCCAGGAAAAATGATTCCCTCGACTTGCGCTGGGACCAACATGTCTTTTTGTACAGGATCAGCTATCCAACCCCCACTGAAAACCTGACTGTGGATATCAAGGCTTGGTCATATCTGATCCCCAGATGGCTATGTCCCCAGATCCCAAACCCAGACTTTCCTCCTGTCCCGTTAGATCTTTCTCTTTGGACTGTGGGGTGCACAGCAGTTTCCTCATTTCTTCGTGATGCTGAAGTTGCTGACAATGTATCTGATTCTGGAAGAGGGCTGTCCTGCCACCTCAGCTGCCTAGCTCAGTCTGTCTCTGCTCTCTCCACATAAACGTCAAGGCAGAGCTGACTGGTGTAAATGTACAAGGTTCTCCTTTTCACCCTGATCGTGTACTGTGATGGAGAAAGGGAAGACACGGAGGCTTCTGGCCTGTGTCGGTGTGGGCCATGAGGCGGCCAAGGTCTTTATCAACAACCTAGGGAGCAGCACTCTCCTTTGCTCTGATGGGATAGATGGGTGTGGCTGAGGTGTCAGCTCTGTGGTGTGAGAGTTGGAGCCAACAGCTGCGGTCACAAGAATTCTGGACAAAACCTGTGTTGAGGAGAAAAAAGAGGTCCATAAGTTTCAAAGGTAATGTTTTTGAAGCTAAGTAGCTGACAGTTGGTTGCCTTTCTGTCTTGCAGAATTCTATTCGCCACAACCTTTCTCTTCATGACATGTTTGTTCGGGAAACGTCTGCCAATGGCAAGGTCTCCTTTTGGACCATTCATCCCAGTGCAAATAGATTCTTGACTTTGGACCAGGTGTTTAAGGTGAGTGTCTTGGTTTTGACTATTTAGGGTTAGTATTGGGGGTCGTGATGGCCATCTCAAGGGACAAGGTGTCGTTGGATGCTCTGTTTAATAGGAGAAAGTTAGGGGCCACCCAGTTACCAAATGACACACTTTTGTGCTAGACTTGGAAAGACCATTGTGATCTAAAATAGAGGACTTCTCAGGGTAATGTTTTCTTGGCTCCTCTATGAATAAGAATTATCTGGGACACTTTTTACCATATAGCTTTCCAGGCCCATCTCTTGGGGCTCCTGAGGGGATCTGATGGGACCAGGAATTTTTAAAATTTAATTTAATTTTATCCTATTTAATTGTTGTTGTTTTGGAGACAGGGTTTTTGTAGTTCAGGCTGACTTTGAACTCGCTGCAATCCTCATGTGCCTCAACTTGTCATGTGTTGGGTCTACAGGTGTGTGCCCCAGGAATTTGTATTTTTAGAAGTATCTTAGGTGATTCTTATAGAGAAAGACTGAGAAACTTTGCTCTCAAAAAAAGGCCTTCAGACTAACGACCAGAAACTGAGCCCCCACAGCATCTTTTTAGAAAGAAACTGTTATTTTGGGACTTGGCTGCTGGTAACTGTGCCATCCTTCTGGGAAGGACATTGTCCAGGTTCTCTCTCAGCATCCATTGGGAATAGATTTCTTCCCAGTCTGTTGAGGTTGACCATGCTGATGATAACTTCATACTTCATCTCATTTCTCTCCCACGATGCTCGGTTGCCATAGCCACTGGACCCAGGCTCTCCACAATCGCCCGAGCACTTGGAATCAGTAAGATTCTCTCTTTCTGGCTCGGGGCTTGACCTTGCTTCCTTTCACTGCTTAGCATGGCTTTCATGGACAGAGACAAGCTGTGACCCAGGGAGGGCGGCCTACGGCTATGTGACTGCCAGCCCTAAATACACAGGACCCCGAGGCTTCTGGGAGTGAGGAACATGTGGCTGCTGGGCACTTGCCCATATCTCCTTCCCCTTCGTGGGCAGCATAGAGAAGGACACGCCACTGATGGCACTTTGTTTTCTCACTTTCCTGCCTGACTTTTCCTTGCCACTCGGATAGCTACACACTTCAGCATCCCTGGGTGAGGCCTGTAGGGGTGATGTAGGGGTGATGGAGGACACTCCTGCCACTGTGTGTGGTATGCTGTGCACCTTCCCCGGAAGCAGGGCTTGAGAGATTATGCTCACCTGCATTCATACTGCCCCCCCAGGCCTGCTTTTTCTTCCTGGGCTGTTGGTTGGCCCAGGTGCCCCAGCTTAACTTGGTGGGGTCTACTGTCCTCTCTGATTAACTCAGGTTTCTTTCTCTCCCCATCTGCCACAAGCAGCAGCAGAAGCGGCCCAATGCTGAGCTCCGCCGGAATGTGACCATCAAAACTGAACTTCCACTGGGCACACGTGAGTGTGGGAGGCTTCATTCAAGGGACATAACTTAGGGAATCAGTCTCAGAAATTCTGTTCCCAACTCAAAGGGAAGGAGAACAGGTAAGGGTGACCCTGGCCCTTGCCCCTAATCTCTTCTGTTTCCTCCTAGGGAGGAAGATGAAGCCACTGCTGCCACGGGTCAACTCCTACCTGGTGCCCATCCAGTTCCCAGTGAATCAGTCCCTTGTGTTGCAGCCCACAGTGAAGGTGCCGCTGCCCCTGGCGGCTTCACTCATGAGCTCAGAGCTAGCCCGCCATAGCAAGCGCGTCCGCATTGCCCCTAAGGTGAGTGTTTGCTATTTCATTGTTATACCTATACCTTGTGCAGCATCCTGCCAGGTGTTTCCTGAGAAGTTTATAAACATAGTTGGGTAGACAAAACAAAAACATAGGAAACTTTAATAATATAAGAGCTTAAAAAGAATTTAGCTTACAATGTAAATGGTATCAGAAGGGCCATAAATGATGAGTTTGTAAGAGTGCAGACTGGGGTGCTTATATGATAGCTTGGCAAGAAGAGTCCCGGAAGAGTTCCCAGGGGGACAGATACTGGAATGAAGTGGAGTTGGGCAGCCCACAGGGATGGTGAGGAGGATGCTGCTGGATAGTGCTATGGAGGCAGCACATGCCAGTGTGCACCTGCTGGGAGCAGAGCAAATGGTCCCCCTTGCTCAGGGCATCTCAGCCTCCGTCCTGTTGACATTCAGACTGGAGAATTCTTTGTGGAGTTGGAGGGTGTGATCTTGCTTTGTTTTCCTCTCTAGATGCTACCAGCTGTCTACTTGGGGGGAAATTGCTCCTGGTCCAGCATCTCTGGTCTAGTTTGGGGGAAGGTGAGGTGGGTTAGCTAAGGGCTTACAGTGATGGATCAAGTCTGGGCTAACCCTCAGGAGATGGTTTTTTTTTTTTTTTTTTTTTTTTTTTAATTTTATTTAAGGAGAAAAAAGAAAAAAAAATAGAAAAATGGTACAAGTTATACAGAATTTCAGAAAAAATTAACAGTAGGAAATCATTAGTTAATTACATATTGTCATCTTAGAAATAGTTGTTCAAGTTACAAAATTAAAGCATATAGAGGGGATTTTCAAACAGTGAGACTGCAAACAGTTTTGTTCAATGATCCAACAAAACTCAGTAATATGGTTATCTTATACACTTAAATATATATGCAGTTATAACCTTTAGAGCACTTTCTTTTCCTTTCTTTTGTACAATGACAATTACACATTTTGGGTTTTATTACTTCCACAGTTCTTATTACTTTTTGTTTGAAGAAAGTAAAACCAAATGTGACATAACAGGACAGAGTCAGTCAAATCAAAAGGATGGACATAATACATAATGTAAAAACAAAATACACGGTGATCAACAATGGTTACCGTAATGTCTCTTGCTACTTTAAAAAGAATTGCCTATATCATCAGTTATAATAAAATTGAATAAAAGGGTAAAGAACAAGACCAATAAAACCAAAACATTGGAGACATTACAGGACTTCAAAAGAAGATAATAGTCAATCAGAATGGGTGTCATAATGAATCTTATGGTCTTCACAGTTTTGCCTATACTTTCAAACTTGGTACTATCAAGCATAACAATAGAGGAAAATCGATCAAAACGAGATGGTGAGAGCAATACAGAGTTTCAAATCAAGTTAATAGGAAATCAATGTGGGTTACTATAATATATCCTGCTATTTTTTATTTATTTTTCCCTTAATTAAAAGGATAAAAGTAGGGGCTGGGGATTTAGCTCAGCGGCATAAGCACCTGCCTTGCAAGCAGGCAGTCGTGAGTTCGATGCCTGGTACCGATAGAAAGGAAAAACACCAAAAAAAAAGGATAAAAGTGAAAAAGTAGATAATAAAAAGGAGATTGAGATAAAAAAGAGGGCATAACAACAAAACAGCGCAGGTCAAAACATAGCCATTTAAGCAAAATAGTGTTTCACCACAAGATAATCTCGACATAAAAGTAGTTACCATAGTGTCTCTTTCCTTAAAATCTTTGGGTATAACTTCGTATACTGTAGCATCAAACATATCAAGATAATGTAAAACCGTTCAAGAGAATGACAGTATTATAGGGTATTTAGAATCAACTAACAGAAAATGAACAATGGTTTCTGTATAATCTCCTTGTCTATAAAAGTTTTTGTTTATATTACATATAATAAAATCCAATAAGATACAACAGGTTAAAACCGATGGAGACAAAAGAACAAAAGTTTGATGGGACTTCAAAACAAGAGGATATTAAATCAGCACTACCTATTATGATGTCTTGTTTTCTCCAAAATGGCTGTTCCTACCATCCAGCCTTCTCTGCCTCATTTCTGTTGAGCTCTTTTTCTGTCGTTAGTTGTCAGGTTGTCTTCTTCATTTTGCTTTCTGCTCCATTCATTGTGGCCTCTCTGCCACTGTTCTGGAATCTTTGTATTTTTCATTTTTAGAATATCCCGCAGTAACCTCTGTAGAGTTGAATTGGTGATTGCAAATTCCCCTAGTTCCTCTTTATCCTGGAAGCACCTTGTTTCTCCACTAATTTCTAGGGACAGTTGTGCAGGATATATCAATCTTGGCTGGAGGTTATTATCTTTCTTTCTTTTTTTTTTTTTTTATCATCTTTCAAAGCTTGAATTATTTCCCCCCACGCTCTTCGTGATTTGATGGTTTGTGCCCAGAAGTCTGCTGTAATTCTGATGGGTGTTCCCTTGTAAATAATCTGTTTCTTGTCTCTGACGGCTTTTAATATTCTGTTCTTATATTGGATTTCTGGAATTTTGATTATTATATGTCTGGGTATAGCTCTGTTTGGGTTATAGGTGGCTGGTTATGCCTCATACATCTGAGTATCTTTACCTTTTGCTAAATTAGGGAAATTCTCCTGGATTATTTCTGTGAATAGCTTTTGTAGTTCATTTGTTTGTGTCCCTACTTCTTCTTTTATGTTCTTAATTCTTAAGTTATTGATCCTCTTATCATCTTCTAGCCTTTGTATTATTGCTGTTTATTTTCTTGTTATTTTTAAGAAGTTTTTCATTTCATGCTCCCACCTTACAAATCTGTCCTCCAGTTCTGATAATCTATCCTTAGTTTCTTTCAAGCTGTTATGCCAGCTTTCAATAGAGTTTTTAGTTTCCTGGTAATCTCTTTGAACCTGCTTCACGTATTCTATGTTTTCTCTATTTTCTCCATCAAACAATTCTCCCCTTTTTTTCTGTTCTTCTATTCCACCATCTGTTTTTTCTTGGGTGGTGCTTAGCATTTCTCTAATTATTCTACCTCTTGCTTTATTTCATTATATACTTCGTGTTTGTTTGTTTTTGTTTTTTTGTTTTTTTTTTTTTTTTTTTTTGGTCTTTTTCGTTTTTACCGGTACCAGGGATTGAACTCACAACTGCCTGCTTCCAAGGCAGGCGCTTATGCCACTGAGCTAAATCCCCAGCCCCTATACTTCATTTTTGAACTCATCTATGAGGCTCTGGAAATACCACTTTATGTCTATTGGTGCCGTGTCCGATATTGCATGTTTTCTGCCTTTATTCTCTTTTGCATTTACCTTTCTTGGATCAGTGTTCTCAGGATTGGGGACTGAGGACCCTTTCTTGTTGCTCCCTTTTCCCATACTTTTTTTTTGTTTTGTTTTTGTTTTTTGTCTTTTTCATTTTTATCAGTACCAGGGATCGAACTCACGACCGCCTGCTTGCAAGTTGCAAGGCAGGCGCTTATGCCGCTGAGCTAAATCCCCAGCCCCTTCCCATACTTTTTGTTCCTTCCATACAAGCATATGTAGGAGGCCCAGTTTTTTTTTTTTTTTTTTTTTTTTTTTTTTTTTCTCTTTGTCTGTTACAGTTTGTTTGAATCACACTGGCTAGGTGATCCCACCCACTGCAGTGTACTAGGGAGACACAGACCTGGGCAGCCTCTGCTGGGCCATCCCTCCAGGTCAATCTAGTGAAGGCTTTACTGCTAGGGTGCACTGCCAGGCACAGGGACCTGATTTGGGCTAACCTACTGGATATTAGTCCGTGGCGTCACCAGGCCAAGCGCTCCCCACCAATCCCGCTTGAGAGGGGAATATGTGACTAAAGTCACTGCAGGGCCCTGTTCCGGCTAGTCTGTCTGGTCCCAGAATGTCCTTTGTTAGAGCCTCCTAGTCTATGAAAGGGTCCCCATTTCTCTTACTCACCGCAGGTCTATGCAGGGCTCCCTGCCAGTCCCACTCTCAACGCCATTTGGTTCGCCGATTCCCGATCTCGTGTCTCTCTCCCTGCCATGTGGACGCAGTAGCAGCAGCAGGAAATTCAAATCGCAGCTTCCAATGGCGCGGGATCCAGCCTCTGCGCTGAGATTTTATCTGTTCCTGGTATAGCATCAGGATTGCATTTCCAGTTGGTTTCTCTCAGCTTAGTTTGTTCCTGGGTTGGCAGGGTACATCTCCCCTCGCTTAGGACTCCTCACAGGGCACCACTCCTGGATTCTAAGCTGGTAATCTCAGAGAGCCTCCGTGGCTGCTGTTATTTGTCTGCCATGTTCTCCCGGAAGTCAGGAGATGGTTTTGTGAGAGAGGCTAATGTATAACCAAAGTAAAAGGCCTCTCTTTTCTTTCTTTCTTTCTTTCTTTTTTTTTTTTTCATAAAGAAAAGGAGTTTATTTAGTTTGCTGTTCTGGAGATCCAAGAACACGTCACTTGCATAGGCTTCTTGTAAGCTTTTCTTTTTAATTTTTATTTAAGGAGAAAAAGAAACAACAGAAAAAGGGTACAAGTTATACAGAAATTCAGAAAAAATAAACAGTAGGAAATCACTAGTTAATAGATTACTTATTGTTATCTTAGAAATAATGGTTCAAGTTACAAAATTAAAGCATGTAAAGTGGACTTTCAAACGGTGAGGAAAAGGCCTCTCTTTTTAGTGAGATGGAAATAGCATGGGCTTGAGTTTAGAGAAAGTTGGGTTTGATTTCTTTCTTTCTTTTTTTTTGGTACTAGGGATCAAGCTCACAACCTTGAGCTTGCCAGGCAGGCACTTATGCCACTGAGCTAAATCCCTGACCTGCTTTAATTTTTTAATTTAAAAATATTTTTAGGACTAGGATGTAGCATAGTGGTTAATAGCATACTTTCTTAACATGTATAAAGCCCCTAGGTTCAGTCCCTAGCATTGCAAAATAAATAAGAGGAAAGATATTGGAGCCCAAGAGTTCAGGGCCAGACTGGACAAAATAGCAATGCCCTGTCTCTTCAAAGAAAAGAAAAAACAAGATAACAGATGTCAGTAATCTAGTAAGTTTTATTCTGTATTTTGATCCATGCTTTTAATGTAATGTGTATATATAGTGATAGCCATTTTATTTGTATACATACAGCAGAGAATATTGAGAATGTGATCACAATATATATACTTCTCTTCATCTTTTTTTTAACTTGAGATATGTTCCTCAGTCTCCTGGGTAGCTGAGTTTACAAGCATGTGCTACAGGCCTGCTTTTCACTTGAGGTTTGTTTGCTTTTATTTTTATTTTTTTAAGAGAGGGTTGCACTGGGTAACCCAGGCTGGGCTTGATCTTCCTATGCCTCTTACTTGGTGTTCTCTTATTTTAGCCTCCTGGGAGCTACGATTACAGGCCTGTGCCTGCCCCACTCATCTTTTTCTAGTGCTGCAAGACACAGAAGTTCTTCTGAGTCACTTGCCTTAGTTCTACTTCATTATTTTTTCATGTCCACATAATATGTCATAGTGTAGCCATATGAATTTCTCCAAGTTCCACATGTATAGGCACATTTGGCTTTTAGAGTTTTGGTCTGTGTAAATACTTTCTTACTGGTGCTTTTATGTCTCAGGGATAGAGCCCCAACATGAGATTGTAAAAGTGTCTTAAATTATAATATAATAAATATTGGGGCTGGGGATTTAGCTCAGCGGCATAAGCACCTGCCTTGCAAGCAGGCAGTCATGAGTTCGATTCCTGGTACCGATAAAAAGGAAAAAGACAAAAAAAAAAAAATTATAATAAATATTGTAAGATTGTGTTCCCAGAACAACTGTAGATATTTCCATTTCAACCAGCAATAGATGACAAGATCTGTATTATTGTTAGCAATTGATATTATTAGTCTTTTTGGTATTTGCCAGTCCAGTGTGTGTGACTATCTCATTATTAATTTTATCTTTATAAGTAAGTTTGAGCACCTTCTCTTTACGTCTGGTCACTTGGAACAACCTCTGTTGCTCCTTTGTGTATACTGCCCATTTGCTGCAGAATCTGGTTATTAATTTGTGAGAGCTCTTTGTTGCTAAAACATTAACCTCTGTCCTTTATAATGATATTTTCTTGGTTTCATTGTTTGTTTCTTAACTTTCTTTATAAGTGGCCACAGTAAAATTTTAAATTTTTATGTAGTGAAATTTTTCTCTCTTTTACATGGCACACACTTGTAATCCCAGCACTTGGGAGGCTGAGACAGGAGGATTATTGTGAGTTTGAGGCCATCTTGGGCTACCTAGTGAGCTCAAGGCCAGCCTGAATTACACAGGAAGACCGTCTCAGAAAAAAAAAAACGGTCATTATACCTCCATATTATACACATAGTCTCCTAAATTCTCTTTTAGAATTTGTGTGGTTTTCACATTTTAATTTTTGCATTTACCTCTTCATATTCATGGGTTCAATGTCCAGCACACCCCACCCCCCCGCAAAAGAAAAGTTTGTCTACATTGTAAAGTAGATTACTCTTTTTTTTTTTCTTTTTGTACAAGAGATTATTCCCAGGGCTTCGTGCTTGCTGAATGTGTGCTCTGCCACTGAGCTACACCTGTGGCCCCAATTCTCTCATCTTTACCCCAGAAGGAAAGTACCACCTTCATTATATATTATATTTTCATACTTAAAATTTTTTAACACTTTCAAAAGACAAAAGAGCTAGAGGGGTAGCTCAGTAGTAGGTCACTCACTTGGGATGCAATCCCCAGCATCAAAATGAATGAATGAATGAATGAATGAATGAATGAAATTAAGAAACAAGAGAATCAACACCGTATGTCACATGTGATATCCTGCCTGGTGCTAGTGGGTTGAACATGAACCTGTTATTTTGCCCCCCACTACCGTTTCAGGTACTGTTGGCTGATGAGGGCATAGCCCCTCTTCCTGCTGCTGGACCAGTGAAGGAGGAGAAACCCCTGCTGGAAGAAGGGCTGTTACCTTTGTTTCCAGTTCAGTCTATCAAGGAAGAAGAAACCCAGCCTGAGGAGGACGTGCCCCACTTAGGGAGACCCATCAAAGTGGAAAGCCCTTCCTTGGAGGAGTGGCCCTCTCCATTCCCATCTTTCAAAGAAGAGGCATCTCACTCCTGGGAGGATTCATCCTGCTCTCCCACTCCAAAGCCCAAGAAGTCCTACAGTGAACTCAAGTCCCCAGCACGACGTGTCTCAGAAATGCTCGTGATTAAACGAAGGGAGAGAAGGGAGATGAGCCGATCTCGAAGGAAACAGCACCTGTTGCCTCCCTGTGTGGATGAGCCTGAGCTTGTCTTCTCAGAGGGCCCCAGCACATCTCGACAAGCTGCAGAGCCTCCTGTCCTGACAGAGTCCACAGAGCCTGCCCCTCAGCATGGCTGCCCCCAGGAGGAGGGAGGACCTTTTAAGACCCCTATTAAGGAGATGCTGCCCATTTCCTCCACCCCAAGTAAATCTCTCCTCCCCCAAACCCCTGAAACCTGGAGGCTCACACCTCCTGCCAAAGTGAGGGGGCTGGATTTCAGCCCAGTGCAAACTTCCCAGGGCACCTTTGGCCCTTTGCCTGACTCCCTGGGGCTTATGGATCTGAGCACCACGCCACTGAAAAGTATTCCCCTCTTTGACTCACCCCGAGAGCTCCTCAATTCAGAACCCTTTGACCTTGCTTCTGACCTCTTTGGCAGCTCTTGCCCCTCAGATCTGGAAGTCCCCAAGCCAGGCTCTCCAGAACCACAAGCTCCCAGCCTTTCAGCCAACTATTCTCTGACAGAAGGCCTAGTTCTAGACACAATGAATGATAGCCTGAGCAAGATCCTGTTGAACATCAGCTTCCCTGGCCAGGAGGAGGACCCCTTGGGCCCTGACAACATTAACTGGTCTCAGTTCATGCCTGAACTACACTAGAGGCTGCTTGACCCTTACACTCAAGATACCCACCATTCCAGGAGGCGTTCATGTGGCTGGGCAGTCCCATGCTCGGGACATGCCATACCCTCTGAAGACTGCAGGCAAGGACTGCACCAGCCTGGTGATGCAAAGGCAACAGTCACACTCTAGCTACTGCTGGGTCTTTGCATGAGTAGAATATGCAGCTGGTCTCTGGATAGAGTGATCTATCTCTCTGCCTGCCAGGAGCTGAAGACAGCAATGCAAAAGCAGTGGTGGAAAGGGACTAAGAATTCCCCACATCATTTCCATTCTGTGTCCTGCAGTTTTGCTTTCCCTGCTTGCGGGGTGGCCTTTGTAAATAGTATACATTTTCCAAATTACCCTTTAATTATAAATGAAAGTTTGAGGTGGGTAGGATGATGGGGAGTTTCCGTTTGCTTCTGTACCTTGCTTTGCTTCCTTGAGGGAGAGGACCTGCAGTGCACGGTTGCTTCTAGGCCCAAGGGTTCTTTTCTGTGGGCAGCTAGACATTTCTCCCAGTCACATCTGCTTGGCAAGGTCCCTCAGATTTCCCTGCCCTCCACCTCCCAGTGTTCCAAGTCAGCTTTCCTGCAAGAAGAAATCTGATTTAAAAGGTCTTATATTGAGTTAAGAATTGGATTTGGAGATGGAATGGTTGCATCTGAAGCAGAGTGGAACCCAAATGTGCCCCGTTAAGACATTTCTCTGATAATGTCCGTAATCATGCCAGGGAGACTTGCATGGACGAGGACTCAGGTGGAGGTTTGAGAAGGCAGAAAGGACCCCTCACCTGCCTGGTGTCCTTAGTTTGTATTGCAGCTTTGCAAAGAGCTACCTTATGCACTAGCTGGCTGCCTGTGTGAGCCAGCTCAAGAACACTACCACAACTACCTACTGAATAAAATCCAGGGTGGAACTGCTGGTCTCTGTGCTCTGTCAGGGTCTGGAAGGGATGGAAGGAGGATTGGTATCAAAACTGATAATGGGAAGAGGCAAGGCCTGCAGCTGCCATGGGAACAACTGAAGGAGAGTGTGCCAGGGCTTCCACATGGTGCCCTCCCTTGATTCCTGGGAATTGAACTTGATTCTGCACTGAGCTGCATCAACAGCTTTTCTACTTTGAGACGGTCTTGCCAATTGCCCGGGCAGTCTTGAACTACCAATCCTCCTATCTTAGTCTACCAGAATGCTGGGGTCCCAGGCATGCACCATTGTGCCTGGCTTTCTCCCATGCCATTTCTAATACTGAAAGTACTGATTTTCCCAGTGCTACCCTGCACATCCCACTTCTCTTCCCCGTCTTCCCAATTTTGTTCCTTGGGACCTGGAGCATCAGGGGAGGGGGAGCCCTGTTGCAGGGGCCTTATTACCACCACCAAGAGGCCTCCCTGAATGTTCCTGCTTCTGTCAATTTTTGTAGCCCAAACTGACAAGAGTCAGCCCTCTGCCTATCTCAGTGGAAAGGCAGGTGGTGGACCCAGGGACTGAAGAGTCTCATGTGACAGATAAGGGCCTCCCTACATCACCTTTCAGAAAGTGTCACCATAGCAACTCAAGTAACAAACAATGGTTCCCTAAAGGGCTCCTCACAAAGCTCTCTCTCCTGGCTCTGAGCCCAGAAGAATGGCCAGCAACACACCAAGGTCACTCAGAGGGCCCAGTGACTCATGTCGCAGAGAGCCTCTGCTACAGGTAGTGTACCTTTTCCTCTGGTTGGGCTGGTGCTCTGAGCAGCAGGTCTCCTGGGGTGTAAATTGTGTTCTCAGCCCTATAACCTGGCAGCAGAGCTCGGACTTGAGCGGCCTTCTCATAGGCCTTGACTCGTCATGTTACCTTCTATCTGAAATGTGTGGTATAGGATTCTTTTAGGATTTAGGATTTTTTTTTTTTTTATCTCGGAATGTTTGTGTATACATAAAGAATGAGATATCTTGGGAATGAGACCTGTCTACACGTGAAATTTGTGTGTTTCATTTATACCTTGAAGGCACCTAGCCTTCAAGTCATTTTATTCAGCATTTTTAGTGTTCCTGTTTCTTGACTGGTCAGTTAATGTTAGGTGTGGCATTTTCCACCTGTCATGCTATGTGATGCTCAGAAAGATTTAGATTTTGAGCATTTTGGATTTTTGGATTCTCAAATTAGGGAGTCAACCTATACCACATCCCCTGCCCCATTTGTAGAAATGATTTAGGGGACAAGGTCCAAACTGCAGGGAGGCTGGGCATGATGGCACATACCTGTAATCCTAGCACTCAGGAGACCAACACAGGAGGAGTGCTGCAAATTCTAGGCCAGCCAGGGGCTACATGGTGAGGTGAGCACCAGCCTGGATAAAACAAAAGCCCAGGGACAAATAGGGATTTAAAAGACATTTTGTCCTGACCAGGCTACATGCTGAGCCAGTGTTCCACAGGCTGTCTCACTTGCATACTGGTCCAGATCCCTGTCTCCATTCATTGAGACACACAATTTGTCTTTAGCAAAGGTTTATTTTGGCTCATGGTTTTAGAGATTTCTGTCTGTGATCACTTGGCCCTTTTGGCACGGATCTGTGGCGGTTCAGGTCATCATGGTGGAAACACATGGTGGAGGAGGCCTGTGACCTCTAGGCAGCTATAAAGCAGAGAAAGAGGCATGATCCCATGGTCCCCACCAAGGCAACTGCCAGTGACCTCATTTCTCTCAACTAAGCCATGCCTCCTAAAGGTGTCACCACTGTCCATGGCCCCATTGACTGGCAATCAAGCTGACATGCATTTGTGGGTTTTGGGAACACTTTTAAGCCATAGCAAAGACAATGACAAGACTTGCTCATAGAGTCCTGAGGGTCAAACAGGACATGCATAAGCATCAGCAGCACTGACACAGATTTGCTATTTTATCTCCCAGTGGGGACAGGTACAGGAAAGGGAATGAATTGACATTATAGATGCTTTCTTTTTTTAAAATGCATTTTATTTTTAATTAAAATTTTTTCAAGACAGGGTTTCACTTTGTAGTTCATGCAGGCCTTGAACTGATCCTCAGGCTGATGTTGAACTGGTGATCCTCCTGTCTCAGCTTCTTGAGTGCTAAGATCATAGGTATGGGCTACCATGCCCAGCAATACTTGTATTTTATTGAAAAATAAGAGGAGGTGATGATGCATGCCTGTAATCTCAACATTCTAGGAGGCTGAGGCAAGAGGATTGAAAGTTGGAATCCAGAGTGGGCAACTAGGCAAGACTGTATCAAAGTAAAAAATGGGCTCAATCGTAGAAGCCTCCAGGAAAACAAAAGCCAAAAGCACCACAAATGAGCGAGAAATAGTAGAGGGAATCTGGGTTGCCAGGATGAAAAATTCCCTGTTGTCACTTCTGGAGAAGAGCTTTCCATGAGTTACCAGGTGTCACCAAGAGCACTGGCAGGAACTTTCTGGAGTGAGTGTCATGGGCCACCACTTGATGGAGGCCCTGGGCAGGAATGTGGGATGATCATAATGGGGGAGGGGACCAAAGATGAGTAAAGCTGAGATGTGGGCGATCAAGGCCAAAATATGACCAGTGGAAAGAGAGCAAGAAGGGAAGATCCAGGAAATAATATGGAAAACAGTGCCATAATTTCTGGGGGGCAAGACACGAAGAAGTGCCTCCCTGCCAGGCTACTGTGTCCCTGAAAGAATCCAGGGTTAGAGGAGGCTGTGCCTTGGGGAGCAGAGCTCAGGGCTCAGCCCTGTGCTGAGTCCTTGTGGATACAGCCATCTCCACGCTCCCTTTTTCTTTTCCTAGATGGTCCATGCCAATGAACACTTTCCCCAATATCAGACATGGCTTCAGCGCCAGTTCTTACTTCCTGGTAAGACCTGGGAGTTACCTGGCTTCACCCGGCAAGCCTACCACCAATTGGCCCTGCAGCGACCACCCTGCACAGATATCAAGTCCATCGTGCGTCAGAGGCTGCTCTACCCTTGCAAGAGTGCAGCCGAGCACACCTGGGGCTTCCATACATGGCTCGATGTGGGGCGTCTGCCTGCCACCTTCCCCAAGAGGCCTGACAAGCCCTACGACAGCAACGTCTGGCGCTGGCTCACACACCCACATGCTTATCGCCTTCAGCCAGCAGAGCCCCCAGTACCTCCTCCTTCCTGGATGGGGCCAAACAGCTTCCTGAACTTCATCCACTCCATACCCATCTTTTTGGATGGGGACAGGAAGAACCAGGTGATTCTGAAGACCATGAAACAGCTGAAGGAAGCAGAGAAACTCAAGCTGAGAAGTGAAATAAGAGCACCTCTGCTTGATGCCCATGGCAACATCCTGCCCCCTGCCAAGCTCAAGAAGTAAGAGCAGCCCTTGTATGGTGCACCCCTGTTGTGGGTGAACCCCCCTTCCTGGTGTCTAACTGTCCTCCTGCCTTCCTCCTTGTGGTCATCTACCTTTTGTGCTTGTCTTTGTGGTGCTGAGGATGGAACTCAGAGCCTTGCACATGCTAGGCAAGTGCTCTGCCGTTGGGCTGCACCCCAACTGACATTCATTTTCAGAATACAGCATAGCTAGAAAGACTAGGGGAGCAGGACAAGACCAGCAAGAGGGGGCACTTTATTGTTTAAAAACGATATAGAGTGTCACTCAAATGATCAATCCTTCTAGACTCTGGGGATACTGAGGAATGTGACTCAGTTCTTACCCTCCAAATAGCCATCAAAGTCGGGCCATCCGGCACTCAGGAGACTGAGACAGGAAGACTGCAAGTTCAAGACCAGTCTGGGCTGCATAGCAAGACTTCATCTAAAAAAAAATTCTAAATCCAACGAAACAAAGCAACAAAAACAACAACAAGAAAGAAAAAAAGCAAAAAGAAAAAGAAAAGAAACAAACAATAGCAATAACAACAATAAAAACCACACATGCCTGTAAACTACTCACATTGTGAGACAGTGTGTATTATAAGAAAGCCATTATTGCCTTGTGAGTGTGTGTGTGCGTACATGCACGTGCATGAGTGGTGCTAGGGATTGAAGTCAGAGCCTTGGGCATGCTAGGCAAGTTCACCACCACTGAACTACATCCCCAGAACTTTATCATTTTTAAACCAGAAAAAGAACATGTAAAACTTATTACATGTTTAAGGCAGGGGAGTATAGGGTTAAGTTCCAGGAAGTCCATCACTGGTAAATTGCTTCGTTTCTCTAAACTCAGTACCATCCCTGATAAAGTGAGTATCGTAAATATGTCCCTCACCGAGTGAGAATAGGATGCGTTAGTTAAACCAAATGTGATGGCCCAGGCTTGTAATCCCAGGACTCTGGAGACTGAGGCAGGAAGATGGCAGTGAGTTCAAGGCCAGGCTGGAGTACATAGTGGGTTCAAGGACAGCCTGAACTGCATAGTGAGATCTGATCTCAAAAACTAAAAGAAGAAAATGAATTAGTGAATATGTAAAAGAACTGAGCCAGGGACTAGGATGCGGAGCAGTGGTGGAGTGCTTGCTTAGCATGTCCCATCCATAGCACCAAAAAAAAAAAAAAAAAAAAAAGGAGGGGAAGAAAGACAGAAGGGAAGGAAGGAGGGAAGGAGGGAAGGAAGGAAGGAGAAAGAAAAGAGAAAGGACAGGAAAAAGAAAAGACAGAACCAAACCAAAACAAGATGCTCTGGTGGAAGAAATTCTGGAGGAGCTGCTGTGAGCCAGACTGCTGTGAGCGTACTGGTGTCCTCATGTGTCTGGCTCCTCACCACTCCCTGCACTTGATGTGGAAGCCAGGGTTAAGACTGGAGGGGTAGAAAGCCTGCAAAGGGGAGAGAGAGAGGAGTGGTGGGAACAGACAGAAATTAAAAGGAATTGTTTGAGAGTTCCCAGCTCCTCCCACTCAGAAGGGACTTCCTGATAGGCACTGCTCATGATTTGTCTGCTGTACTTGCTATGAGACTGTTGATGGCTAATTTGTGCTACTGCAGGATCCAAAGTGAATAAGACTTAGCATCCTGCTCAAAAAGATCCATAGTTGAATCTAATTCCTTTAACTATTATCTTTTTTTGAAACGGTCTCATTATGCAGTTCAGGCTGACCTTGAGCTCACTTTGTAGCCCAGGCTGGTCTTGAACTTGCAACAATTCTCCTGCCTCAGCCTTCTGAGTGCTAGGAGTATAGGCATGTGCCACCACGCCTGGCTCCCTTTATCTGTATTATGTAATCTCCTGGGACTCCACTTTATAGACTGAGCATTCAAGGCAGTAGTCAAAGATTTCGCACAATTTCACACAGCCCCAGGTCACAAATGTGCTCAACTTTCAAAAATGATCTCAACTTTTAAAAATTGTTGTTGCTGTTGTTGTTTATGAGAATGGGCCTCACTATGTAGTTCAGACTGACCTTGAGCTCATTGTAGTTCAGGCTGGCACTGACTCACAGCATTCCTCTTGACTCAGCTTCCTGAGTGCTGGAATTGTTAAGCATGCAACATGATACCCAGGTGTTTAAAAGTGTTCTGAGCTTCACTTTTCTCCAGTATGTATTAGAGATGAGCCCTGTTCCTGACTGGCTTGTTAAAGAGATTAAGTGGCACATACAGAAGGGGTAGGAGAAATGGCATTGTCATCAGTGGAGCATTTCCATGAAGGAAGGGGCCACTGTGGGCATGCACCCTGGAGCTGGTGTGAAGGAGTCTTGGGTGAGGCTTTTCATTTGTTTTTTGTTGGCAGTGATGATTAGGATTGAACCGGGGACTTGAGCAGGCACATGCTCTACCCCTGAGCTACAGTCCCAGCCCCTCAGGCAAGCTTTTGGTGTTCACAGAGAAGGTACTATTTCAGCTGGACCTTAACAGAGTTGTACATGTGCAGAGGTGGAGCCACAAAAGCTAAAGAGAGGAGAAGCCTAATAAATCTGGTTGTTTCTCCTGAACTGTTCTATAAGGGAAGAGTAAAAAAAAAAATTGTTCTACAAAGACTGTGAGCTCAGCAGCAGTGTGTGTACTTAGCATGCATATAGTTCTGGGTTTATCTCCAGGAGTCTGGGAAGCTGAGGCAGGATAATCATAAGGTCAAGCCCAGCCAGGCAATTTAGCAAGATCCTGCCTATAAAAATTTAAAAATGGCCAGAGATGTAAGTTGTGGTAAAGATTCTGGGTTCAATCCTCAGGTACTGTAAGGGGAAAAAAAAAAAAAGGCTTACCGCCATCCTGGAAATTCTAACCTAGATAATGCAAGTCATAGCTCGGGCATGGTTTTTATTTTATTTTTGGTGATTTTGGGATGCAGGCTAGGCAAGCATTCTATTACTGAACTACACCCCTCTGCAATGTTTTACTTTTAAAGGGTTCCCAGGGTAATTCTAATGTTCAGTCATGGCTGAGAACCCTTGAATAAATCACCAGTAAAAAATGGGAATATCTGCTACAGCGGAAAACCTGCAACTATTCAACTGTTTTAAAAAAACAGTTGGCACACACCTGTAATCAAAGCACTCAGGGGGCGGGGGCAGGAGGATTGCCAGCCTGAATGACACAAAGGGACCCTGTCTCCAAAGCAAATTTTCTACTACTCTGTTTAAACATTGGCACACACCTGTAATCAAAGCACTCAGGGGGCGGGGGCAGGAGGATTGCCAGCCTGAATGACACAAAGGGACCCTGTCTCCAAAGCAAATTTTCTACTACTCTGTTTAAACACTATGGGCCAACAAAGAGGAAGTCACTGGCTTGCACTGAGTTGAGTGGCCTTATCACAAGCACTATGTTAGTGAACACGGTAAAACCTGAAGGACAGTTACAATTTAGGTAAGAATCCAGCTGGTGTGGTGGTACACACTTGTAATTCCAGCCCTCAGAAGGTTGAGAAGGAAAGTCTCCACAAGGTTGAGGCCAGCCTGGGCTACATAGTTTAAGGTCAGTCTGAACTTACATAGTGAGACCTGTCTTAGAGAGAGACAGACAGAGAGACAGAGACAGACAGAGACAGAGAGAAAGAGAGACTGAATGATGTTATACACAATATGTCAAAAGGATGAAAGCTTTACTAGCTACACCATATGATCTCACCAGATTTATGCCAAAACACACACCTAGGACACAGTGCAGACCATTTGACATACAGGAAATAGAAGAGATTCCTGTAGCCTGGTGCCCAGTCAGCTGGTGGAAGACAAGCTCACCTTTCCTTCCCATCCTTCCCCACCATGCTTTTTGCTCTCCCTTGACCTCTCTTCCTTCTCTAACAGGTCCTGGTACAAATCAGCTGATGGATGGTTTGAGTCTCAGGGCCTCCCACTGCTGCCCAGTGCAGTTCCTATTGCTGTAGCCAGGAACTGGCCCTGTCCAAACCCTCTGCCTCATTACCAGAAGAAGGCTCTAAAGCTGGCCTGGATACCTAGTGTGCCCCTGAGCAAGAACCTCATAAAGGATTACCAGACCTTGCTAGAAGACCGCATTGCAGTGCCCCTCCACCATCTGTCCACAGCACAGCTCAGCCAATCCTCAGGGAGGAAGAGAAGGAGGAGGCCTGGACATGTGTAGAAGAGGCTGCAGATGGTAAAGACCATGGGAAGCCCACAGACCCCCAGTTTCCTGTGTTCTCAACCTACACTCCTTCAGCAGGAAGCCTCAGGGTAACTGAAGAACTCTGGATTCACCATCATTCCAACCCTATGTCACCTCTGTACCCCAGGATCCTGAAGATACCACTGAAAATCTCAGCTGTGTATTTCTTCCTCAGAGGACTCTCTGAGAAGGTGAGAGGACAGGGGCAAGGAATGTGGGTGAGGCAACAAGAGCAGGTGGAGTTGCCAGTTCCTAAGGATGGAGCCAGGACAGGCAGGGTGAAAATGAGAAAGGGGGGGGTTACTAGAAATGTGGGTAAGAAGACGTGACCTCCGCTTTCATAACCCATTTGGAATGGGTGTGGGGTGGGTAGGAGTACAGAGGGCCTCTCAGGAAAAAGTCACCACAATTCATCTCTCCCTGAACCATCTGCTGTCTGGACAAAAATCGGGCACATTATATTTGGGTGCAGGTTCTCCTGCAGGGGCTCAGGGAGTGGGGGTCAGGCCTGGCTGGTTCTGAGGACAGGAGGATGGGAGAGTCAGACCCTGGGAAGGCCAGCCAGGCACCTGCAGAGCACAGGAGTAGAATGAAGTAAAGACTCAAGGCAAAAGTCAACGTGGTCACTATAGGGCATCATTAAGAGCCTAGAGCTTGTGCTGCAGTGGACTCCGGAGACCTCAGTCTTTGCCACAGAGGAGTCAGAGACAAAGCCTGGAGTGGAGGCAGGCAAAGGGCAGTTGTCAGGAAGGAGCTGGCCCTGGATGAAGTGGAGGCCTGGTGGAAAAGATTAGGGGTAGGTGGATGTGGGGGCCCTACTTCACCTCTCTCTGTAAGCAGATGGCCCCAGCTGCCTTCTCTTGGTCTCCTGCCCACTGGCCTCTCTGTCTAACCTTGATGGAGCCTCACCCCATAGACACCTGGGAATCACCACATCAGAGGGTTTGGGCATGGGTTTCACCAGTATTCAACTGTGTGACCTTTGAGAAAGTCAGCTCCCTTTGTCTTGGTTACTTTTCTCAGTGCTGAGATAAAATATCCAACACTGAAAGTTAAAGGAGGGGTTTATTTAGCTCACAGTGTTAGAGGTTTCAGTTCACAGTTGGCTGGTTCCAAGGCAGGGCGACACATGGCAGAGGGGCAACAGTTCATGGCACTGGAAGTCAGCGAAAGCAACTAGGGGCAGACAAGACTGTTTCAGTCCCTTTAGTGTATTCAGGATCCTCACCCTAGAGTGGATGTGGCACTCACACCCTTAATCCCAGCATTATACCCTCTAGATTCAGCCGACTCTGAAAAAACCCTATGACCGCAGGAGGCTTTGCAGGGCATCCAGACACAAGCCATAACACCCTTCTAGCTTTAAATTTCCTCATCTGCTCAATAGGCATCACTAGACTTTAAATAAGTGGGACAAATAAGTGAATGAAGTGTTTGCAAAGTATCTGGCACACTGTAGGTCTTCCCTGGCTGAAGCTATCAATCACTGCTCATAGAATAAAAATGATAAATAGAATATTGTTCATTCATTAAAAGGAGTAGCGTACTGATCAGTGCTATAGTGTGGGTGAAAAGTGGAATTGCTGTGGAGGGAAGAAGGAGGCACAAAGAGCATCACCCAGTCTGATCCCACCTATAGGAGATTCCTAGAAAAGGCAACTCATAGAGACAGAAGAGCTCACTGGGAGCTCAGAGGCAGTGGATGGTGGGGAGTCATTGTTTAGGAACATGGAGTTTCTGTTGTGGATGATGATGAAAACGTTCTGGAATTAGGTAGTGATAATGATAGCACAATATTATGAATCTTCTTCTCTTTTGCCTTCTCCTTCTCCTGCTTCTCATCCTCCTCCTTCTTTGGTTTTTGGAGACAGGGTTTAGGCTGGCCTTGAACGCACTATGTAGCCTAGACTGGCCTCAAACTTACAGTGATCCTCCTGCCTCTGCCTCTGAGTGCTGGAAATAGGCGTGTGCCACCATTCCTGACTATTGTGAAGGTTCTTAGTGCCCCAGATTTGTACATTTACCAATGCTTTAAATGGTAAAATTTATAATATCTATAATTAGCCACAATAAAAATTTTGAAAAAGGGAATAAAGTACTGATAGGTGAATAAACCTTGAAAACGTGCAGAGAGACCACCTGTGGTTTGCAGTGCTTAAGATATGGTTTGATATCCCAAGAGCTCATGTGTTAGAGACATGGTTCCCAGTGTCACATTGTGATAGGAGAGGGACCTTGAAGAGCTGGTGCCCACGAGAAGTATTCAGGGAATTGGGGGCACGGCCCAGCAGGAAAAATTAATGCTGGTTTGTCAGAGTGAATTAGTTGTTCTCAAGAAAGTTGCAATAAAAGAGCAGGAGCTGAGCCTCTCTTACTGTCTGGTTTCCTGTCACCACGTGGTCTCTCCCTCTGTCACACACACCTACCATGATGTCATCCACACTGTGACACAGCCAAGGGGGCCCTCACTAGAGCCAGATAGCTCTTGGCACATTGCTCCAAACTATGAGCATAATAAACTTCTTTTCTTTGTAAATACTTTGCCTTAGGTATTTTATTGGAGCAATGGAAAATGAACTCATACATTGTGTGACTCATTTATGTGATGTATCTATGACATACAAATCCAGAGCTAGAAAGTGAATCAATAGCTGCTAGGTGCTAAGAAGGGGAAATTTAATGTATTTTGAAAGTAAATGCAGATGGTGGTTGTATAACATTATGAATGAACTAAATCCTACTGACATGTAAACTTTATAATGGTAAATTTTATGTCATGTGGATTTCTTCTAAATTAAAATTAATTATACCACACATGAACTGTGTAGTTTTCACTTTCCTTCCAGCTCCAAACCTGTAATTATTCTTGTCTTTCTGGATCCCCACCTCTCGTCCTGATGTCTTGAGGGAATGCAAACGGGCAGAATCAAGGGCTGGAGAACTCCGTGGTACTTCAGAGAGTATCCATTCTCCCTATGCTGGACTAGGAATAACAGTGGGAAAAGGGTTCCCTTTACATATGATCCAAAACAGTCAGAGTTGAGCAGTTCATTAGAAAGTGAATCTAATGCCCTTTTTTTGTTTTTGTTTTTTGAGATAGAGGCTTGATATGTAGCTCAGGCTGGCCTCAAACGTGTGGTCCTTGGGCTGGGGATTTAGTTTAGTGGCACAGTGCCTGCCTGGCAAGAGCAAGGTCCTGAATTCAATTCCTGATACCACTCCCCCACCAAAAATAAATAAATAAAAACCACAAAACAAAAAAACCTGTGATCCTCCTGCCTCAGTCTCCCAAGTGCTAGGCTTACAAATATGTACCACTGTGCCTGGCTGGGTTTTTGTTTTGTTTTTCATTTTTTGCAAAATTAATCAAACCCTGGATCTCACACATGCTAGGCAAGTGTTCTGCCACTGACCTACAATGCGGGCCTCTAATGCCCTTGGTTTTTTAGATGAAGCAGCGATTAAGAAGTGATCTTCTCTGGACCCCCAAACCACACAGTCCTGTCTCTTTGGTGGTAAAATAGGAGGCTCTGGGTCTGGAGCTAGGACTCTAGGGCCTGTGTTAACCTATTCCTCAAGCCACATGTCTCCTTTCCAAAGAGCGGCCCCTAGTGACACTTTAGGAGATAACATGAGGATTTGGGGAGCAGGAGGAAGGAAGCTACTGGGACTTTTGAGAGCAAGTTCCCCCTTCTCTGGTCTTAAACTAAAGGAGGGCAAAAAGGAAGTGTGATACACCCCCACCTTGCCAGGCCCAGGCCACTCAACAAGCTCCCAGTCTCAATTGGGACTTCTATCCCGTCCCACTATCTTCCCACAGCCTCTGGAGTGGCCTCTTCCTTGCCCCAGTGGTGTCACTAGGACACTGTCGGGCCCTCTTGTGCATTGACCAGCTAGGGAGGCAGAAGTAGAACTCCTGAAACTCCTGAGCTCCGGTGGGCCAGGCGATCTGGGAGACAAAAGCAGCCATCCATTCTCTGGGTTTGGAGACTGCTAAGGTAATTCCTAGCTCAGCCTGCTGGGTGTGTGGCTGGCAACCATGAACACCTCCCGTGTCTACCCCTCCCCACATATTAATGAATATGGTGTTTTCAAAAGCTTTGGTGGGCTGGGGTGGGAGGTCCCTATAACCCTATAACACTCTGTACACCTGAAGTGTAGCTCTGAGGAGGCAGAAAGCTGGATCAGTAGACTCTCCTCTCCCTGCACGTACCCAGAGTGCCACTTTCTGGAATACCATTGGCCCTTCTGGTCCTACTAGCTTCAAGGACACTAATAATTCCAGTACAGGAAGCCTCAAGGGTCACTTATGGGCCAAGGTCACTCCTTCCCAGGAGTCCTAGTCTGGTGACCAAGGCTGCTAAGACAACTTTAGGCTACTGAGTTGCTGCAGGATTGAGGATCATGCAGGGCCACGTGTGTAGCCAGCCAAGGTCTGTCATTGTATTGTCTGCCAGGGTTGGCCATTTAATAGCTGTGCTCTAAAACACCCCAATGCTGCTCTCTGAGGTGACAAATCAGAGCTCCGGTCCTTTGAGTAGGCTGCCCCCAAACTCAGTTCCCAATTTCCCAGCAGGCCCTGGCCTATGCTATCCACTCATGGCCTGCTGTCTTGCTCCAAGCCCTTCAGCTTCATGCTTCTTGACCAAGGAGGTATATTCTTAGTTTTACTCTCTACTGAATCACAGGAATTTATTCTTTCCATTGCACAATGGTAAAATTACTACTGTCTATTCGTCATGATAGTAGTCAGTGGCTTCTGTTTCTATTCAAATGGTTGCCTAACTTGCATTAGTCCTGAGCCAGCACCTCCTCTGCAGACCCCAGGACAGATCCTCACAAATGCCTACACACTTGTAGCTATTGTTGCCAGTGTTCAAATTTCAAGAAAGCAGTTTAGATTCTTTTTTTTTTATTTAAGGAGAAAAGAAAAAAAAAGTGAAAGGGTACAAGTTATACAGATTTACAGAAGAAAAAAATGAACAGTAGGAAATCACTAGTTAATGGATTACATATTGCCATCTTAAAAATAATTGTTCAAGTCACAAAATTAAAGCTTGTAGAGTGGACATTCCAACAATGATACTGCAAACAGTTCTGTTCAATGATCCAATAAAACTCTGTGATATCATTTTCTATCTTATACACTTAAATATACATGCAGTTATATAGTTTAGAGCACTTTCTTTTCCTCTCTTTTGTACAATGACTACTACACATTTTGGGTTTCATTGCTCCCACGGTTCTTATTGCTTTTTTGGAAGAGAGTAAAACCAAGTGAGACATAACAGGACAGAATCGGTCAAGTCAAAAGGGTGGATATAATAGATAATATAAAAACATAATACAAGGTGATCATCAATGGTTACCATAATGCCTCCCGCTATCTCTAATAGAATTGCCTATATCATTAGTTATAATACAATTGAACAAACTAGTAAAGAACAAAACCGACAAAACCAAAACATTGGAGACATTGTAGGTCTTCAAAAGTAGATAAAAGTCAACGAGAATGGGCGTTATAATGAATCTCATTATCTTCTCAGCTGATGCCTAAACTTTCGAACCTGATACTATCCATCAAAACAGAATAGGGGAACATCAGTCAAAAACAAGATGGTGAGAGTAATACAGGGCTTCAAATCGAGATAACAGAAAGTCAAAGTGGGTTACTATATTATATCCTGCTATTTTTTCCCTTTAATTAAACAGATAAAAATAAAAAAGTAAATAATGGAGTGGAGATTGAGAAAAAAGAGGGCATAACAGCAAAACAGCGCAGATCAAAACATAACCATTTAAGCAGAATAGTGTTTCATCACCAGATAATTCCGACCTAAAAGTCGTTACCATATTGACTCTTTCCTTGAAGTCCTTGATTCAAATACTGTATCATTAAGTATATCAAAACAATGTAAAACCATTTAAGAGAATGACAGCATTACAGGGTATTTAGAATCGACTAACAGAAAATGAACAATGGTTTCTGTATAATCTCCTTGTCTTTAAAAGGTTTTTGCTTATACTATCGTACATAATAAAATCCAATAAGATACAACCTGTTTAGACCATTGGAGACAGAAGAACAAAAGCTAGATGAGACTTCAAAACAAGATGATACTAAATCAGTATTACCTATTAAGATGTCATTTTCTCTAAAATAGCTGTTCCTATCATCCAATCTTCTCTGTCTCATTTCTGTTGAGCTCTTTTTCTGTCAGTAGCTGTCAGTTTGTCTTCTTCATTTTGTTCTCTGCTCCATTCGTTGTGGCCTCCCCGCCACCATTTCTGGGTTCTTTGTATTTTTCTTTTTTTAGAATATCCTGCAATACTTTCTGTAGGGTTGAATTTGTGGTTGCAAATTCCCCCAGTTCCTCTTTATCCTGAAAGCACCTTGCTTTTCCATCAATTTCCAGGGACAGTTGTGCAGGATATCTCAATCTTGGCTGGAGATTATTATCTTTCAAAGCTTGAATTATTTCCCCCCATGCTCTTCGTGATTTGATGGTTTGTGCAGAGAAATCTGCTGTAATTCTGATGGGTGTTCCCTTGTAAGTGGTCTGTTTCTTGTCTCTTACAGCTTTTAATATTCTGTTCTTGTATTGAATTTCTGGAATTTTTATTATTATATGCCTGGGTGTTTCTCTGTTAGGGTTGTAGCTGGCTGGGGTCCTGTATGCCTCGTACATCTGAGTATCTTTACCTTTTGCTAAATTAGGAAAATTCTCCTGGATTATTTCTGTGAGTAGCTTTTGTAGTTCACTTGTTTGTGTCCCTACTTCTTCTTTTATGTTCTTAATCCTTAAGTTATGGCTCCTCTTATCATCTTCTTGTCTTTGTATTATTGCTGTTTGTTTCTTTGTTATTTTTAAGAAGTTTTTCGTTTCATTCTCCCATATTACAAGTCTACCCTCCAGCTCAGATAGTCTGTCCTTAGTTTCTTTCAAGCTGTTATGCCAGTCTTGGATAGACTTCTTAATTTCTTGATAGTCCCTTTGAACCTGCTTCACGTACTCTATGCTTTCTCTGTTTTCTCCATCAAACAATTTTCCCCTCTTTTTCTGTTCTTCCATTCCACCATCTGTTTTTTCCTGGGTGGTGCTTAGCATTTCTCTAACTATTCTGCATACTTCTAGCTTCAGGTCATTGATAACTTCATTCCTGAATTGGTCTATGAGGCTCTCTATATGGCGCTTAATGTCTATTGGTGCGGTGTCCGCTATTGCCTGTTTCTCAGAATTGGGGGCCGAGGAGCCTTTCTTGTTGCTTCCCTTCCCCATTTTCTCCGTTCCTTATAAAATGCAAGCTTACATAGGAGGCCCAGCTTCCCTGCCTGTCAGCCACAGCCTGATCAAATTGCGCTGGCTAGGTGTTCCCGCCCACCGCTGCCCAGGGACGGACTAGGCAGCCTACGTGGCAGTCACCCCTCCGGGCCACCGTCAGGCTCTGGGATCTGGGTTAGGCTAGCCTACCAAGTCCGCCCGCAGCGTCACGCAGGCCAGGCACTTTTCACCAATCCCATCCGAGAGGGGAATGTGTGGCTGGAGTCGCCACCGCGCCCTGCTCTTACAGGACTGCCCGAGCCCAGAAAGTCCTCCGCTGGAGTCAAACTGTGGTGGAGTATCAGTTTCTCTCACTCACCTCGCCACCAGTCAGTGTACGCCTCCTTGTCCGTCCTGTTTTCAACTCCGTTCGCAGACTCCCGTTCCCAGAGCTT